TTAATCCCAGTACTTGGGAGGCAGAGGCAGTGGAATCTCTGAGTTTGAGGCCAGCCTGGTCTACATGGACAGACCATGTCCTGGTCTTCCAGGGCAGACAGGGCAATGTAAAGAGATCTTGTCTCCAAAAAACAAAGCCTGCTTTTACGGCACCATGGAATCCTAGGTCTTGGAGGAATGTATAGCCTTTTAAACTCGAGGCTACCACAAGGTCACCACCTCTTGATACAGCTGGTTGAAAGCAAGATAAGAACTGTGGGTCCTGTCACGTAGACCCAGCCCAGCCCCACAGTGACAGAGTTTAACTGTCTTCGGTTCCTGTTGCTCCTCTTTGCTCACCCTCCATTGCTGTGGCCACCGCCAACCCTCTACTTAGCCTAGCTTACCTGTTCGTCCTGTCCTCATGCTCTGAAAAGATTCCCATCTGTATTATGCAGTACACATTGGATTTTTCCCCCTCTTAGAATGTTCTTTCGTTTTTATCCCACGGGATACTGTTCTACCTTTCAGTATTCACACCAAGTCTTCCATCTTTCCTCCATATACTATGCAGCCAGGCCTTCTGTGTCAATTTAAGAAAGTTCTGCCCCATGTCTCCAGCAAATGAGAACTCCATTTGTTCTACTTTTGTGCCTGCTGCAGATTTTATGCAGTCATTTCTAGCTATAGCTCCAAAATAAATATATAAAAATCTTAATCTTACCTGTATGAATGTTTTGCCTCCATGTATGTATGTATCTGGTACCCACAGAGGTCAGAGGATGGCATCGGACCCCTTGGAAGTAGCGTTATGGAAAGTGAGCCACCATGTGGGTGCTGTGAATTGAACTGGGGTCCTCTGTAAGAGCAACAGCACTAAACCACCGAGCCATCTTGTCAGCCCTTTATTTTCAGCTTCAGCTCTTTATCTGCCTCAGTTAAATACAGAGGCAGGGACATCCCTCATCACTCATCTGTCTCAATAACAGACATGCAGCTGCCGCTCTCTAACGCCAGCGCCGCCTCTCGCTTGCCGAGCTCCAGCCGAAGGAGAAGGGGGGTAAGAAGGTGCCCATACCATGGCTCGTACAAAGCAGACTGCCCGAAACTGGAGGGGTGCCCTCTACTGGAGGGGTGAAGAAACCTCATCGTTACAGGCCGGGTACTGTGGCACTCCGTGAAATCAGGCGCTATCAGAAGTCCACTGAACTTCTGATTCGCAAGCTCCCCTTTCAACGTCTGGTTCGAGAAATTGCTCAGGACTTCAAAACAGATCTGCGCTTCCAGAGTGCAGCTATTGGTGCTTTGCAGGAGGCAAGTGAGGCCTATCTGGTTGGCCTTTTTGAAGATACCAACCTGTGTGCTATCCATGCCAAACGTGTAACAATTATGCCAAAAGATATCCAGCTAGCTCGCCGCATACGCGGGAAGCGTGCTTACGAGTCCACTATGAGGGGAAACATTTCATTCTCAAAAAATTTTTTTTTCCTCTTCTTCCTGTTATCAGTAGTTCTGAATGTTAGATATTTTCTCCATGGGGTCAAAGGTACCTAAGTATATGATTGCCAGTGGAAACATAGGGGACAGAATCAGGTATTGGCAGTTTCTCCTCGTTCATTTGTGTGTGAATTTTTAATATAAATGCAAGATGTAAAGCATTAATGCAAGCAAAATGTTTCAGTGAGCACATTTCAACAGTTCAACTTTATAACAATTATAAATAAACCTGTTAAAATTTTCTGGACAATGCCAGCATTTGGATTTTTTTAAAATAAGTAAATTTCTTATTGACGGAAAAAAAAAAACCAGACATGCAGTACTGTAACCTATGCTTTCTCGATTTTTCCCACCCCCAAACCTTAGAAAATGCTACTACATCAGATATTATTGTTGTTAAAATAGTGTTATAATATTGTCAATATTATTATACAGAAGCTGAGGTTTAGTCCAGCTTGGGGGCATGTGGATATATTCCTACCTACTCTACAGACCAGTGGCTTCAGCCAAGGAATATCACAAGCAGCCTGGGAAAAATACTGACTTTAAAAAGGGAAAAGGGGGATGGGAAAGAAGCTAGAGAAGAAAGGGAAAGAAAGGGGAAAAAAAGGAAACAAAGATCTCAAATCAGCCAATAAGCGCAGAGAAGATAACATCTAAGAGCTAGACTTCAGCCGGCTTCCAGAATATTAAGAACCTACCCTTTACAAGGGGCCTAAGTAAGATACTAAGAAATGTTTCAGGAAAAGCGTGTGGGGGTCTACGAGGCTTGCTTATGTTTAGCTTCATGTGATTTTTGTTTCGTTTGGAAAAGGAACAGGCCCTCTTAGCTTTTGTCATTTCACTTACCTTTCCTAACCTGGCTTGTCCAGCCTTAACAGAGGCGACAAGCTGGGGTGACCTCGGAAGCAGAACCTTGTCCCAAAGTGGTGCTGCGAAACAGTGAAAGATTGAGGCGGTTGGACTGGGCCATTCCTGAAGCTACAGGGGCATACTCATGGCACGTCCTTAAAGATGAGTAGGAAAAGAAAAATGAAGATGATTGTCCACCTTTCTTCGTCCCTTCTCTTTCTCGTCTGTGTTCTGGCCCTCCAGCGTGGGTCCCACTGGCTGATTTACAAAGGGAATCCTATAGGATAGGAGAGGCAGAAAAAGCCACTGTGGCAATTACGGTAACTCGGTGTTATGCAAACTCATAGTTTACATATAATTTGCATGTTGATATACTTTTGGAAGTACGTAAACTATCAGTACCTCCACATCCCTCCACTGATCCTGCCCACGCTACTTCCCTCTCGGCTTCCTTAGTAAGCCTGCCTCTTAGGTCCGCCCTCAAACACTGGGCCTTCCTTTCCCATAAGCTCCTCCTCCCTGCCCCCACCCCCGCTCCTTCCCTAGCTTCCAAAAGCTCTTCCCCGCCCCCTTTTCCTTTCTGAACAGGCGTGACTCGGGCAGCTCACCGGACTCAGATTACTACGGCATCGACAGTGTCCTCACAGTCCGGAAAGCAGGAAAGGAAGTCCCGGGAAGAAAGGCTCGGGCCCAGGGGACTCTCACATCGGAACGCGCCAAGGAATTGTTATTTTGGGTCCTGTTAGTGGGGTCCGGTCCAACTTGAGGTAGCGTGAAGGCCCCTTCAGGCGGCGCCGCGGGCAGCCCGGCAGCCGGGGCCTGGTGCAGCCGCCGCGGCCGCTGTCAGGGAAGCGCAGGCGGCCAATGGAACCCGGGAGCGGCCGCTGCTGCTGAGGCGGCGGTGTCGGCAGTCCGACCCCGACCGCCTGCACCCCCTCCGCGAGGGTCCCCCGGAGGTAAGCGGCTCCTCCCCCATGAGTCGCCTTTGCCTGTGGGGGGTCCTTCTACCACCCTGTCCCGCCCAGCCTACTGCGACCTGGGTTCGACTACAAAACTGCCCCCCTGGTGGCAGCTGCACCCTGAGGTCCTTCACCCTTTACTCTCGGGCCCGGGGTCGTCTTCTCTGCTTTCTGGCTTCCTCTTCAGTTTAGCCCCTCCCTCTGCCCCCGTGGATTCCACCTCCACACCAGCACCACACACACACTTTGTACCTCTGTTGCCTCTGTTCTTAAGTATTTTTCTAAGTCGTGAACCTTTTTTACATTAGACTCCTTCTACAATATCCATCCATGTTTGCCCTTCCTCGCCGTTTGTGTTTCTGCTCACAAGCCTTTTCCATGGACTACGCCTTTATCCCTTTTCCTATTTTGCCCCACTCTTCCGAGGCTGTGCAATCTCAGCACAGAGTTCTCATTTCCCTCAGCTATAGATTGTGTCCCTCTCTTCTGCTTCCGATTCCATTACCTCACCATAACCCACTCCCCCAGTTCCTGGCTTCCAAGAGTTGTTTATTCCCTTCTTTTTAAAGGATCTCAGACTACTGTCATCATACCCAGATACTATCTACTTTGACCTTAGTCCTCAACCCCTCTCTAGGGTGCCTGATGATAACCTGAAGCTGTCTTTGGCTTCCCTTCCCCCTTTCTCAATCTCCAGTCCTCTGGAGGGCTTCCTGTAGGAATAAGATCTGTCGTGAATACCCCTACAGATAGTGATTTCCAACTTTTGACACCTCCAGGATTTTGCTGTTGTCTCCCTCAACTCTGTTTTCCCTGTGGTCTTTAGGTGTTCTCTGTCATGCCCTTCATCTCCACACATGACTTCAGATCGGCTAAACCTTGAACTAAGAAGAAAATGTGAGAGGAGGGGGTGCCTCAGCTGTCTCAGGCTTTTCTGGACAGATGGGTGTTTCTGAAAGATAAAGCAATTTTTAAAGAAGTCTCTATCAATCAGATTACATTTTGTTGAGTGTTAAGAGCAGCCACTAGAAGAGATGCTCGGGCCTGGATGGAAACTGAATGAAGTTGTGAGAAATTTTGCTTTAGATTATTTACTTTGGGATTTTGTTAGATCACAGACTATATCTCCTACTCCTGTCTAGAGCTAAGGGGAACCATTACTTTCCTGACTGAAGCTTAGGGACTAGTGTTGGTTAGTTTCATAAGCATTTGGACCTAAGATAAAGTTGTGTGTGTGCATGTCTCGGGTGGGGGATGATTAGGAAAAGGAACATAAGACAGTGTAAAGAGCTGTATGTTCAGAGTCAGGGCTCCTTGGTTCAGCTTGTAACTTCCTCACTTGAACTCTAGAATGGTCGTTTGAGAAAATGGCCAATTCTGCAAGCACCAGTGCTGTAATAGGTTAATAGCAGGATGTCTGTTGGGGGAAGAATAGTACTTTTTTAATTTATAAAACACTGCAGGCTCTCAGACAAAAGGTATTTATTGCTAGTGATTTTGTCATCTTGAGAGTTCCCCTTTATTTTGATGTTTTGGTCTCTCTGGTCTCTGACCATGAGTGTAAGCCGGTTTGACGCACAGGCTCTTGCCTGGCCGCTGCTTTTCAGCTCTGCTTTCCTTCTTCCACTACATTAAGTCGTTGACCATCTGTGCCTTTTTTTTTTTTTTTTTGTACCTGATCCATAACTCCAGACTCTGTGGTCAGAAAATGTGTTTGTAGAAGGGCCCTTGGAAAAGAGCCTTGGACCATGCTGGAACTAAGCAGCTATCCAAGTGCTGCGTTGTCTTCCACATCTCTCTTGGCCTGAGATAATAAAGAAGGCACAGGCACTCCATTCATCTTCCAGCCCTAGGCCTGTTCAGGTTTGAAAATAGTTATACCATCTTGGCCCACCTCTCCGTACCCTGAAGTCACCTGGAGTGCAGTCTACTGATGAGCCCCACTTACGGGAGAAGGCCCCTGGTTTCCTTGCTTCTCATCTGGGTCCACACTGTGCGAGAACATGTTTGCTGAACACTAATATATTGGCACAGGAAAAGAGAAGCCCTCGTCTAAGCACATTTGGAACTCACATAAGGGCTAGTTCAGAGAAAGGTGAGCAATACAGGTTGCTGTCTTTACCATTTGTCAGTCTCATCATGGGCTCCTGGAGCAGGCTTGGGCTGTTTGGTTGGAATCTGCTTATACCTGCTGCATGGCCTTGCACAGAGTTCTCAGCTTGATCAATATTGACCTAACTGCTGTGAGACCACTGCCCTTCCCCCTATGCTATAGTTGAGAGTGCCCTCTTCCCTGATGCCACCATCCTTTGAGACCTTGAACAAGCATACTTGGTTCCTGGTGGAGCTTGAGCTTGCTAGACTGCTCAGTCCAGAGTTTCTTCAGGGAAAAATGGAGAAGTCGTTCTTCCTTTACTATTAAGGTAAAAGGGAAAGATGAGTACTTGAAGCTTTGTACCTTAAGACATGGAAAAGAACCTGTTTTGTTTGTTTGTTTGTTTTGTGTTTTTTGGGTTTTTTTGGTCTTTTCAAGACAGTTTCTCTGTGTAGCCCTGGCTATCCTGGAACTCACTCTGTAGACCAGGCTGGCCTCGAACTCAGAAATCCACCTGTCTCTGCCTCCCAAGTGCTAGGATTAAAGGCATGCACCACCACTGCCCGGCAGAACTTGTTTTTTAAGAAAAACATTTTGTGTGCATGGCCGTTTTGCCTGCCATGCACCACATATGTGCCTGTTGCCTGCAGAGGCCAGAAAAGATGTCTGTTCCTCTGGAGCTGGGGTTAAAGATGGTTTTAAGCCACATGGAACTAACCCAGGTTCTCCAGAAGAGCAGGCAGTGGTCATAACCATTGAACCATCTCTCCAGCCCCAATAAGGAACTTCTTAACAGCAGAGCAAGCAGCCTAGGATGATAGAGTCCCTTTTGAAGAGTGGCTTATTTTTTAAAAACTACTATTAAAGGACTGCACGCACTTGGTAACATTCAATAATGTTACAAGGATTTATGATCAAACTAACAGTCCCTTTCCCTTCATCTGTGTTCACACCCTTCAGGTCAGAGCTCACCACTTTAATTATCTCAGTTTAAACTTCTATCTAAAGCTTATTACCATAGCTTCACTTAAATGCTTGTGACTATTCCTTTGTTGAAGAAGAGGGTTTGGTTGTAGAGGATTCATACTTGTTTAGGTAATTATGACATTATTTTGTTTTTCAACCTGACACTTATGTAGCTTTAGCTAATGTATCTGAGCCTTTCTTTTCCATTAATTTGGAGTAGGGTTTGCTGGAGATTGAACCCAGAGTGGTGCTGGTGTTAGGCAAATCATCCACTACTGCACTAGACCCTTGGTGCACTGCCCCCCTGGCTCTCTTTCCCATGAACTTTTGCTGGTTTTCCTTTACTACCCACCTCATACTGTAAGATATTGACTCCTTTATCTTATCTCTACTTCCTGTGATCCATTTCAAAGGATCCTTAAAAGGAAGGGAAATTGAACTGATCTGCCTGCTGGGAAGAAGAGCAGTATATCAGATGATGCTTCAAAGCCGTTCTATGACAATTTGGGAGCTTGTTAGGCCAACAGGATTGGTGTGAAGTGGTTCATATTTATCACGAAAGGAAAAGACTGAAGAAGTAATAATAGTAATTGGGTAAGGGCATTAATTTGCATCTTGGTACCATCTTTCCTGAGAGGCTGGACCAGTAAGTCTTTTCATGAAGACTTTTTTTGTTTTGTTTTGTTTTGTTTTTTTTGTTTTTGTTTTTTTTCGAGACAGGGTTTCTCTGTGTAGTCCTGGCTGTCCTGGAACTCACTCTGTAGACCAGGCTGGCCTCAAACTCAGAAATCCGCCTGTCTCTACCTCCCAAGTGCTGGGATTAAAGGTGTGCGACACTACCGCCCGGCAAGACTTTTCATTAAATTCTGTGCAAACAGAATTTTTAAGGTGCTCTGAAGTGCTGGGCAGTGGTGGCGTACGGCTTTAATCCCAACACTTGGGAGGCAGAGACAGGCGGATTTCTGAATTTGAGGCCAGCCTGGTCTACAGAGTGAGTTCCAGGACAGCCAGGACTACACAGAGAAACCCTGTCTCGAAAAACCAAAAAAAAAAAAAAGGTGCTCTGAAGCAGAGAGCCTGGTTAAGAGGTAGTATTCCTTGCAAAGACCTCTGTAGGCATAACTACTGCTTTGGCCCATAAAACATATAGTGGCTACTTTCTGTGCCTCTTTAGAAGCTGCTTTTACTACTGTAACCTGGATGCCCCTGATACTTAGACTTTCTCTACTGTATTAGTTATTTTTCTCATTGCTACCATATAATGCCTGAAAAAAGCAACTTCAGGAGAATTTACTTGGCTCACAGTTTGAGGTTACAATCCGTCACAGTGGGTAAAGCATAGTGTTTGGAGTGTGAGGCAGCTGGTTGTATCTGCAGTAAGAACAGAGAAAGGCATGAATGTTTGTGGTCACTTTACTGTCTCTTTTTTACTAACTCTGGGGCCCTAGCCAATGGAATGGTACCACCTATATTTTGGATCTGCCCACCTCAGTTAACCAAATCTAGAAATTTCTTTACAGACATGCACACAGTGTGTGTGCACATACATGTGGAAGCCAGAAGACAAGTTCAGGTGTTGTTCATCAGATGCTAACCAACAACTTAAAAAAAGGACAAGCGTTCCTTACTTTGCAACTGACTAAGTAGGATAGCCTGGCTAGCTGGTAAATCCTCGGGATCTGCTTGTCTGTTCCCCAGCACTGGGGATCACAAGTGTGTGCTACCATGCTTCATGCTAGGCTTTTTTTGCCTTGGGTTCTGGGGATCAGATTCAGATCCTTGAGCTTGCAGAGATCTCAGTCCCTATTCTGTTATCTCAATTGCTAATATGATCTGATCCTCTCCTATAATCCTCTGCTATTGGCAATCCCTGAGTCCCCAAGAACCGGGTAGTAGCTAGTCATAGAGATGCTTGTATAAAAGAGAAGTTGGGCCTATCTGCCCTACTTTTGGGGGGTTTTGTTGTTGTTGGGTTTTGGGTTTTTTTTTTTTTTTTTTTTTTTTTTTTTGGTTTTGGGTTTAGTTTTGTTTTGACAGTTTCTCCTGCCTCTACTACCCAGTTGCTGAGATTCCAGGCATATACCACCATGCCCTGCTTTTTCTGAAATGTCATGTATCAATTATGTGTCTGTGTGTATGTGTGTCTGTTTGTCTGTGTGCGTGTGGACACAGTAACACACATGCTACCCCATGCATGTGAAGGTGAGAGGATGACTTTCCTGACTTGATTGCTTCTCTCCTGCCTTATGCTCAAAGGATGGCACTTGGGCCACCAAGCTTACATGCACAGCAAGTGCTCCTACCTACTGAGCCTACCTCACCTGCCCTATGCCTGGCTTTTCTGGACATGTTGATATCATCTGGTTTCTCAGACAGGTGAGAAAGTCTGTGCACTGTGGAAGTACTCTGAATACTGTGATATGGGGTTCCCTGCTGAGCCCTGGGAAATTGTCTTCTTTTGCCTATGGGATAGAAGGGTGATAGTCTTTACTGGCCTTCCTGAGTCAATAATAAGCACAATTCCAATTAATTGGAAAAGGGAAAATGAATTTCCTGGTGACATCTAAGAACTCTTGTGTTTGAGAATGACAGAACTTCATTTCACTTGGAAGTTTTGGGGATGGCTGGTTTTATTAATGGTTCCAGGGATCAAACGTGGCTTTGTACATGTTAGGCAAGCAGTCCACTTCTAAGTTAAACTCTCAGAATCCATTTAAAATATTTGCTTTGTTTGTTTTTAGATGATTCATGTAATCTGAGCCTTGAACTTTTCTGTGTAAATGAGGATGACCTTGTGCTCTTGATCCTCCTGCCTCTGACTCTCCGGGGTTACAATTCTTCACCTAGTAATAGACCTCCTTAAGGTTTTGAAAAGCGTACTTTTAGGAACCTTGTAATTTAGAAATCTCTGGAATAAAAAAATGAAAAGGATGAGCTAAGCATATAGTCACTGAGAAGGAGTTAATGGAACAGGATTGGCTGAGGCTAGAAGACCTAGAAAGTAGCTTTCCAGCTGAAGTAAAGTGACCATGAGGGCGCCATACCGAGTTGTAGCAGGGAGTGATTAAAGCTTCTTTCTTGCCGGGCAGTGGTGGCGCACGCCTTTAATCCCAGCACTTGGGAGGCAGAGGCAGGCGGATTTCTGAGTTCGAGGCCAGCCTGGTCTACAGAGTGAGTTCCAGGACAGCCAGAGCTATACAGAGAAACCCTGTCTCAAAAAACCAAAAAAAAAAAAAAAAAAAAAACAAAAAAAAAAAAGCTTCTTTCTTATTTCTGTGCAATCCACAGTCGCGGTTACAGGCAGATACATATAGGCAGCCATGATGGTTCTGCTGCTCAGAGGCACTGCCCAACTCTGGGACAGAGTGTAGTGAAGGGACATCACCTTCTTCTTACCTACTGGTACGAAGCCCACACTTCATCAGGAAGTGCAGAGATACATTTCCTGCTTGACAGTTGGGAGAAAGATGAGCTAAAGTATACCTTTTTGTTGGTATCTGAGAGTAGAAGAGTTTCTTTCTGTACAGCTTTGGTCCTGACTGCTGGGGTGGCAGGAAACTGGACTGTGTGATACTGGACAAATGAGTGCCATGGAAGAAAGGTGGTAGGAAGCAGGGCGTCTGCAGCTGGAAGTGCAGCTTAGTTGGTAGAGTGCATGCCTAGCACACATGAAGCCTGGATTTAGTCCGTGTCACTGCATAAACAGGCATATGTGCTTGGGAAGTAAGGGCAGAAAGAAGTTCAGAAGTTTAAGATCATCCCCCTGCTGAATGGTGAGTTCAAGACCAGCTGGAAATTCACAGGGACCCCTATCTTGTGGGGAAAAATGAATAAAAATTCCTCAGAGTGACCAGAAAACCAAATACTGAACACCCTTTTTCTCCCACCCAAAGTATAGATAGCTCAGCCTCACTAGAACAAAGGATAATGTCACTAATACTTAGAAATGACTTTCTCTAGTTCTACAAATGCCTCTCCTTCTTCTGAAGTGCACATTAGACGTTCTTTGCTTGTTTGGGAAGAGGATTCTGAGTTTACTGATGTCTATGCCCAGATTCTGAAGCCAAGATCACCTGACAAAATATTCTAGACTTATTTTCCCAATCTGAATCACTCCAAAATCCCCTCCTGTTTTTTTTGCTGATTCTCCTGACCTGGTTTGGTGACACTCTGAAGGCTACTCTTAGAGGCAGTGGCTTTTTTTATTGTTGTTGTTCGAGATAGGGTTTCTCGGTATAGCCCTGACTATACTAGAACTCACTCTGTAGGCCAGGCTGGCCTCAAACTTAGAAATCCGCTGAGGCAGTGGCTTTTATCAACAGCATTCTCTGACTACTTCTACAAGTTCATCCGGAGTCCTGATTTCTTTTTGTCTTCTTAGAACTCTTCCAGTTTCTAGAGCTTTTAGGTGACAGTGGGGAGAGCAGTAAGGGGTAGGGAAAGGTGGTCATAATTTTTTCAAGAGTCACAATGGCTAATGCAATTCTCATCCCTTGTAGAATAATAGTATCTATGCACATGCTGTTTATTAACCTTTTATGGGGTTACAATTTAGCTAGCAGTGTTGAATACTAGAGTACTGCTGTGTACCAGAACTGTGTTAAATCCTTTCATCCACATCAGCTTGTCTTATGTACAGCAGCAATGTGAAGTAAGTACTTTTCCCTCAGTTTGCAGTTGAGGAAGCCGAGACAGAAGATACATAGTGTATTTATATTTGTGTGGCTTATAGACAGCATGGGTATGGTGTTAGGAAGCCAGATGTGAAGAAAATGGTGCAGCTTCTGCATGGTTGATGATGGCTGGCTGGCTGGCTGTTTTAGAGATGCTTTCTACTAAGTGAAGCCTAGTATTGTACTTGCTGGCTCTTATTCCCTGGATTCTTTGAGTCTGAAAAGGAAAATATTTATAACCAAAACATAGAGTGGTAACTGGTGCCTATAATTCCAGTACTTGGAAGGCTGAGGCAGGAGAATTGCTACAAGTTTAAGAACAGCCTGGGAAATAGAGTAAGACTGAGAAGACAGTAACAGCTTTGATACTAAATTGGGGGAGAGGCAAAGGACCTGTGTCTGATATATGTTATGAAATAAGGAGATACAGCTTAAATAAGAAAAGGAAAAGTATCACCACGAGCATTTGAAGGTGACACAGGAAGAGCAAGAAAAAAATATTTAAAGAAAAGAGAGTAAGACTCGAGTTGATTCCCAGTATACTGAAAAATTTGTCAGACTGTCTTAACATACCTCATGTAAAATAGCATTTTCACATACAATCGAAAAACCAAGGGCTGGTGAAATAGCTCAGTGGTTAAGAGCACTGACTGCTCTTCCAGGGGTCATGAGTTCAAATTCCAGCTACCACATGGTGGCTCACAACCATCCGTAATGATATCTGATGCCTTCTAAGGGGGTGTCTGAAGACAGCTACAGTATGCTTACATATAATAAATGAATAAAAACTTTAAAAAAAAAAAAAGAAGAAGAACCAAGGCTACTGTGAATATGTATGAACGCAGTGATCAGAAGTGGGGAGGTAGTGAGGGCAGATTTCTGTTGAGATGACTTCATTTGATGTTGAAGGAGGAATTGCTTGAACAGGCTTCATGGTAAGTGAAAGACCTGAATGAAGATGATAACACTAACCAGTGTGTGTATGTGTCCCTTTCTCTTCTCCCTCCCTCCTCTAGCCTGGAAGCTCGAAGTCTGGCTGTAGCCATGGGAGACATGGTAGTGGAGCCTGCCACCCTGAAGCCAACTTCTGAGCCTACTTCTAGCCCATCAGGGAATAACGGGGGTACCCTACTAAGCGTCATCACGGAGGGGGTCGGGGAACTGTCAGTGATTGACCCTGAAGTGGCCCAGAAGGCCTGCCAGGAGGTACTGGAGAAAGTCAAGCTTTTGCATGGGGGTGTAACCATCTCTAGCAAAGGCACCCCGCTGGAGTTGATTAATGGGGATGGTGTGGACAATGAGATCCGTTGCCTAGATGATCCACCTGCCCAGATCAGGGAGGAAGAAGATGAGATGGGGGCTAGTGTGGCTTCTGGCACAGCCAAAGGAGCAAGAAGACGACGACAGAACAACTCAGCCAAACAGTCTTGGCTCCTGAGGCTGTTTGAGTCAAAACTATTTGACATCTCTATGGCCATTTCATACTTGTATAACTCCAAGGAGCCTGGAGTGCAAGCCTACATTGGCAACCGGCTCTTCTGCTTTCGAAATGAGGACGTGGACTTCTACTTGCCCCAGTTGCTTAACATGTATATCCACATGGATGAGGATGTGGGCGATGCCATTAAACCCTACATAGTCCACCGTTGTCGCCAGAGCATCAACTTTTCCCTCCAGTGTGCCCTGTTGCTTGGGGCCTACTCTTCAGACATGCACATTTCCACCCAACGACACTCCCGAGGGACCAAGTTACGGAAGCTAATCCTCTCAGATGAGCTGAAGCCAGCTCACCGAAAGAGGGAGCTGCCAACGTTAAGCCCGGCCCCTGACACAGGGCTGTCTCCCTCTAAAAGGACTCACCAGCGTTCTAAGTCGGATGCTACAGCCAGCATAAGTCTCAGCAGCAACCTGAAACGAACAGCCAGCAACCCTAAAGTGGAGAATGAAGATGAGGTAAAATTGGGGGGAGGAGCAGCTCGGCAAGGTGTTTGAGGGTCACGTGAAGACAGGATATCTTCTGTGGGGTCACTCTACTTTCTGTCCTCTCCTCCGTTCATTTCACGTATAGAAGCATGGAATGTTAGAATGGAAAAAGACCTTAGAATTCATGTATTCCAATGGCCTCATTTTACACAGGAAAAATTCAGAGACAAGAGAGATAAAGTGACTTGCCTCAGGTCATCAAACTAATGGCAAGGCTGATACTCTTGACTTTGTCCAGGGTTGATTTCACTAAATGGCATTGTCATTCCATTAACCACATATTAAGAACTGTGACACAGACCTGATGCACGCTACTTGAGACCTGTCCTAGCTGAGATCACAGCAGCCACCACAGGGAAGGAAAAGGAACTGTCCTCTTTCTATATGCTGGGAGAGAGAGGATGCTAACTAGAACATCAGCTTCTTCTGGCCATTCCTCATAATTCTTTTCCCTCACTCCCCAAAGCTCCTACTTTTTGTTAGCATAGATTTATTCTCTACCAATCAGGCCTCAGACCTCAGCAGAATGTATCAGCCTGCCTTCCTTTGAGATGTATAAAAAGGGCAGAGAGAAACAGCTTTGGCAAAGTAAATCTAATGCCTACTGGATGACATGAAGCTGAGAAAAGGAAGTTCAGCAGCAGCAAGGTATCTAACCTGTGATACCGAGCAGGAAGTGAGTAGTCAGTAGCTTAGTGGCACCCTCCACTATACATCTAGAAAAATAGTGGGAAGAGGTACCCAGTAGATAACCAAGTTCCGTGGCCTGATGTCCCAGACAGTTGTGCTCCAGTCCTCACCTCTGGCTTACTTTTGGCAGGCTCTAGTCCTGGTTGCCAGCCAAGCCTAGGAAAGAAAGGATTTAAAAAAAAAAAAAAATGAAGACTTTGCACCACTGGAATGCATATGCCCATGTCCTGGCACCTACTCTGTGTGGTGTAAACTACCTACATATTTAATACTTGAGGAGTTTCTTTCAAACAGAGGGATGTCCGTAGTTAGAGAAAGGAAATGCAGTAGGCAAGGGAAGTTCAGAGCTTGTTCACCCAGGAAATGTATTTTATTATATTTTAATGATACTAAAGCTAAATGTGCCAACATTATTGACCATTGATATGCTGGGCAGCATGCCAGATAATGTACATGGAATCCACACAACCACACAGGTAAGTGCTGTGATTTTACCAGTGAGGACCAGGCTTAGAGAAGTTAAATGACTACTAAGGCCACTCAGTAGTGACTATTAGACCAGGAGCCCAGTCCATGGCTCATGCTCATACTCACTCTGCTGAGCTGCGTAGGTTATTTCTCAGCATCTGCTTCCCCAGATCCCAGCTGTAAGAGGTCATTGAAGGAGAAGAGCCCAGGATGTGACAACCTACACTTCCACATCCATGTACAGACAAAGCTTAAGCTGTTTAAGCTAGATCAGCCTGTTTCCATTTCTGTTTAGCTTGGCGGTAGAGTCCAGGGTCTAGAAAGGGAGGTTGCTGCAGAGCAAGAAGAATCCAGATAGTGGTGGAACTGAGGTCCTAAAGGGCTTGAGCTTCTCTGGAAGCTGTCTCATGTAAGATCAGACCTGGTCAGAGTGAGTGTGCTTCTGGGAGGGGTTCACTGGTGCCTCCTGTCTGGCTTGACTTTTCCCTGTATCTATTTTTTAGTCTGCATCTTAGGACCAGAAAAGCAGAGGCCTTAGGGTTTTTCTTACCCTGTGCTGGTCTGGGGTCCCTCTTCTATGCATCTAACTTCTGCTGCAGGATTATGGATGGCTCTGAGAGGCAGGTATTCTATGAGTGTTTAAATCTCTAGGGTGGGTTCTCCAGTTGCCTTTCTTCTCCACCTGGCTCCTCTTGGGTTACTAGATCCAGGAAAGGAAAAAGATAGCACTTTCTGAGGCCCTTCTGGGTTATCTGATGCTGACAGTGAGACACTTAACTCCACTGAGGCTCTTTGGGAAATCAGATACATAAACATAAATACCACAAGGTTTCTAGGCATGGAGACTCAGGAATTTCTGCCAGTCCCTTTTGATATTTTGATGACCTTTGTGCTTGAGATGCCAAGGGAATTGGTTTTCCTTTCTTCTTTCATTATATGAAACATGCATTCACTAAACAACTAGCTGTTATCCCTGTACAGTGTGCAAAAGGATGGAGGATAAATGCTGTTCTTGGACTAGGAACTGATAAAATTTAACACCAGAGCTCCAATATAAGGTTCTAGTTAGTGTATGTCTTGATTGAAAAGTTTATGGAAGCAGTAAGTATACACATGCCTTACTAAAATGAACGACAATTTTTTCTAAAGCCCAAGCAAAAAAATCTAAAGGAGAATTTCTGGATGTGCCCTGACACTGTGCTCCCAGTCTCAGTTGTCTTTGTGGGTTCTGGTTAATCCCATGCTCCTCCCACTATGGAGGAGCTCCAGAAAAGTGAAGTGGGGGCTCGGGAAGAAAAGAGGCCCAGGGCTACTTTCTGCCTGGAGTCTTCCTACAAAACTCTTCTTCATTGGTCAGATCTCACAGAAATTTCCATGTTCTTACGAGGATTCCTTTATGTTCCCACAGAGTCACATACACACCCAAGCCCACCCCTCTAAAGCAGTTCTTATCAGCCTCATTTTTCCTATTTGTAGCCAAATGATAAATATTTTGGCATAGAGTTGGCAGGGTGACACAAGAATCAGAGAGTGATTTAGGTACCAACCCTTAATCACATCCTCCCCTTCATAATGACACTCCAAAGAGGTTAGCTTTGTCTTTTCAGGACTGTAACCTTTGTACAGAGAAATCTGCTGCATGTCACACTGGAAGGCTTTCCAGCCTGATAAGGGTGTGATGTCAGCTCTTGGCTTCAGCTTTACTCCCTGAAGCTGACTCAGTACAAGTGACTCAGGCCTAGGGAGTAGGAGGAGAACAGATCGTGAGATCCTATTGCTTGCCATGGACATTAATGAGTCCACTGGGGCCTGTCTGGGAGAGAGTCAGCTAAAGCCAATCTTCTGCCTTTATTCTTCCCCAACTAGCATAAGTATAGAAAATGGACCAGCAGATTATAACAGATTCTGCCATCCTCATTGCCTCTTTCCTTCCCACTTCTACCCAAAGTAGAAGAGTTGTAGCCTTTACAGGGTGTTTCCAGGTGTGGCTACATCCTGCAAATGCTCTTCTGCCTAGATTCTTAGAGGAAAACCCAAATGTACTGCCTCTGTCAAGAACTTCAGTCACAGAATTGAATTAACAGTGGCTTGAAATGCTAACTGTAGAATAGAGTGCAATGCGCACTGCCTTCTTGCTCTTAAAATTCTCAAGACTTTGCCTTAGTCTAGGTCCCTCCTTCCTGCTCTGCTCCTGCTGCCTGTCCTGATAGGACATAGTGCATAGAACCCAGGATGGATGGCCCAGTACATGAGTACTGCTCCACAATTACTGAATGAGCTGCCCCTTACTTTGTTCCCAGATACCAGCTAACACAGGAGAAGGATGTTGTTTATTTTGTAATTTTTTGTTTGTTTTCTAAAAAAGACTCAGTATGTAGCCTGGGCTAGCCTTGAGCTCTTGATGCATCTTCCTCAGCCTCCTAAGTACTGAGATTACAGGCATGTGTTACTGCCTCAGCTGGGGTGATGTTTACATTATTGGGATCTAGACTTTGGGCTGGAATCAAGATTGCCACTGCCCTGCTAATTAGCTTTCTCAGATGGATTTAGTTAGGATCTAATTGTCCGACATACATCAAAAATAGATATTTAGTGACATGTGCAGTAGCCTGACAGGAAGCCTGTGGAGGTTTGGAAGATATAAGACTAGTACAGTTTTTGAGCATCCAGCTCACAGCTTTCAGGCTCATGGGTTTGGGATGCCCTTTGTCACACAGGTTTAGGGTTGGGATTAGGTTTCCTCGGGTGATCACAGGGCTGACTGAGAGAAGATATGTACACCTGAAAGCTTAGCTCTTCCTGAGATTACCAAGAAGCTACAACAACATAGACTTTGTACCATAGGGGTCTTGCAGTTTGTGGTTGTCCCCACAAGGAAGGGGTTGGTTGAAGGCATGTGAGTGGTCTGAAAGAAGTGAGCCTTAGCCAGGCAGTTCCTGCACTGGGGATACAGCTCTAGGATTTTGATCTAAAAGGAAGATTTATTCAGGCAAGAACAGAAGATAAAACAAAACAGAAAGTGCCTTGGCCTTCAGCTTTTGATCTCAAGGTCTAAGCTGGCCTTCCAACATCCCACAGATATCTAGACTCTGGGCAACTGGCAGTTCCAGACTGACTGTCTTTCACTAAAGCAGAAAGATTTAGCTGCACAAGAGAAGCAGTTATGAACTAAGTTGGAGCTAAATTCTTTACCTTTGTCTCTTTCCCTCCCCCCCAACCCCACCCCTTTTTCCCCTTGCCCTCTGGCCCTTTCCCAGGAGCTCTCCTCCAGCACCGAGAGTATTGATAATTCATTCAGTTCCGTAAGTGGGGCCAGGCTGGGACTGGGTGGCAGGCTCCACACGTGGCCGCATTTCCTCTCCGTCCCATGTCTTCTATGACCAGTGAAGACCCCTTTGATTCCTAGAGATTAGTATCTCCCTGCCAGGCTTTGAGACCTGGAGGCATTCCCCCTGAGCTTTGCTAGTGCCCTGACAGGCTCAGGCCCAGACAGGCTCAGCTGATCTTTTGCTCACAGACAGCAGCTGGAATGTTGTGCTGCTTAGCCCTAGCTCCTCTGTCTCTGGAGCAAACAGCTGGGAGAGGTAGAATTTACTCCTGAATTAGAGCCAAGGACTGCTTGGCAAAAATCTCCAGTATCCCATTTCTCCCACCAAGAACCCTTTCCCTATGGCTTCTGCCATCAACCCATCAAATATTTATTCAGTTTTCTCAATGTTAGACCCTGTGCTGGTTGAGCCAACTCCAAAAACAAACAGGAATTGGCCTGAGGGAAAGTTTTACCTTCCCACAACTGGTTTTCCTTTTTAACTTCATTTCTTCTAGGTCTGAGTTCTTCCCATTCCCTAGCTCACTGCCCAGGATATCCCTTAATCCCTGTTCTCTCTTCTTATTCTCTCTGGACTAACCCATGACCCTCTAGTCCTACAGGGTCTTGGACCTTGTTCCTGGGCAAAGACGTGAGAGGAAATGCTGGACCCTCTGGGAGTTTGGATGATTTAAAAAACATTTTTTTTAACATTTTATTCTTTGTCTACCCAATCTGTTTTCTAGTTCCTGTATGATCCTCTTTTAATCATGATCCCTTCTCCTCCCGTGTGGCAGAGCCTCTTTTTTGGAGGCCTGGGGTCATATCCAGCATGGTTAGGTAACAGGGGTCTACAACTGAAAGGCTGATTTGAGAATGGAAAAGAATTCTGCTTTTTCTACATGCAATGACTATGAATTGATTGGGGTGGAGGGCCCTTGGGACAATGACCCTTTGCCACCTGAGTGGATGGATTTGGGGATCAAGATAAAGGCATGAATCTTTAGCTCTATCCCACTCCCAGCCCTCTCTCTTTCTGGGAGGGAACCTAGGGCCTCATTCTTTTCTTGCTGTGTTAAGCCCCCAGGATATTTCTAGAGATCTTTGAAGTCCAGTTCCATCTTATTTTCTTTTTCTCTTTAATCTCTGTCCTTAAAGCTTCCCTTCCTCACTGCTGGGCAGGGCTTTAAGCCAGCCCACCTCCCCATCACAGAGTGGAGGCTGTGAGGTTTCTTTGCACCCTGACTGTTCTGCATGTACAGATGAACATGGTCTTGTTCAGTGCTCAAAAGAAGGTTCTGGGTGGGAAAAACTTCACAAGGCCCCACTCCTAGATGAAGAGCTCCCAGCAGTCAGTAGCTGCTGGGGGAGATAGAATGAATCCATTTTCTCTGGAATGAGCACCATGATAGGTTTCCTAATGCTCTCTGGTCAGCATTAAACACTTGCACGTATGCACAATACTAATTAGACTTAGTACGATCTGTATAAAATCAAGAATAAGGGGCTGGAGAGACTCAGGGGTTAAGAGCACTGATTGCTCTTGCAGAAGACCTGGATTTGATTTCCAGCACTCACATGGTGGTTTACAACCACATGTAACTCCAGTCTCAGAGGAATGATGCTCTCTTCTTGTCTCCATGGGCACTGCATACACATGGTAATAGACATACATGTAAGCAAACACCCATACACATAAATAATTTCTTAAAAAATTAGCCAGATGTGGTGGTATGTGCCTTTAATCCCAGCACATACAGAGGCAGAGGCAGGCAGATCTCTGTGAGTTTGATGGATAGGCCAGTCAGAGCTACACAGTGAGACCCTGTCTCAAAAACAAAAACAATTTCCAAGCCTAATAGTTTCATCTTTTCTATAATATTGTAAACTATTACAAAAAAGGTGGGGGGAAAAACTGATACTTTCTGCTCCCAGTGTGTCCAAACTCTGAATAAATCTACTTTTTTAAAAATGGTATTTATTATAAAAGAGATAATGACTTCAAAGGGGAGTATGAGGGATTTGGGAAGGTGGAAACGATAGTCTGTATACTCATGTATCAAGCTCTCAAAGTCATTTTTTACAAAAGAAAAAACTTCTTTTGTCATTTAACAAAAGAAGTCTTGAATAAAGTTTGTTCTTAATCTCAAAAAAAGGGGGAGAAAGAAAAAAAAGATGTTCTCTCTTTTTTTTTCTTTCTTTTTTTCTTTTTTGTAATAATGAGCAGTAAGTTGGGGCTGGAGAGATGGCTCAGTGGTTTAGAGTACTGACTGCTCTTCCAGAGCTTCTGAGTTCAATTCCCAGCAACTACATGGTGGATCACAACTATCTGCAATGGGATCTGATGCCCTCTTCTGGTGTGTCTGAAAACAACTACAGTGTACTCATACACATAAGATAGATAAATATTTTAAAAAGAAATAATGAGCAGTAAGGGGTAAACACTTCGAATCAGAAAAATAAGCAAGCTTGGTGTAGTGGCTCACATCTTTAATCCTAGTACTGAGAAGGTAGAGGCAGGAGGATTCCTGTGAGTTCAAGGCCAGCCTAGTCTACATAGCAAGTTCCACCCCAGACAGAGCTACATAGCAAGATACTCTCACAAAGAAAGAAAAAGAGAGGGGTGGGGAGGGAAGAAAGAAAGAAGGAGAGAGATAGAAAGGGAGAGAAAAATCCTGATAAGTGAAATTTTATTTCAAGAAGAAGAGTATAAAGAAGAGATGTTCTATGTAGCTGAGGAGACAGGATGAGATATGGTTTTGTTTTGAGACAGGGTTTTGGTATGTAGTACTGGCTGACCTAGTAATCACTAATCCAAGTTGGCCTGGAATTTGTGGCAGTCCTTCTGTGTCAGCCTCCCAAGTACTAGAATGTGGATCACCATGCCCATTGTATGGGGGTTTTGTTTGTTTGAGTCAGGTTCTTGCTGTATAGTCCAAGGTGGCCTCCAACTTGTGATCTTCCTTGCCTTGACTTTCAGGGTACTAGGATTATAGGTGTACACCATTCTGTCCAGCTTAGTGGCTATCTTGGTAAAGGGTCCCTGTCATAGACAGACTAATAGAGCTCTTCTTCATGTCTATCTGAGTCCATCTTTCTCCCCACCCTACCTTAGTCTCCAGACTTGGCTTTGACCTTTCTGGGAACTGCTGTAATACCTGACAAGAGGAACCAAGCTTACCTCAGGGAACTCAAATGGGGAGCCTAGTCTCTGAAAGGAAGAGGAAGAGAAGAACCCCAGGAGAAATTGCTAGAGACAGGCCTTTAGAAGGGCCACCAAGAGCTAAAAGGAGCTATTGCTTTCTCCATCCTCCTATGCAAACCACCTTCCACCTGCTTTTCTTTTCATGTGGATTATGCTCTCATTAACACAGTTTGCTCATCATCTTTTCATCCCCTGCATGTGCACTTAGCCCTTACAAGAATGTGGGATGGTTGGGGTGTGTGCCATGGAGACTTCTATCAATAGAAGTCTTGGGGTGACGAGCATCTTCCTTCTCTGAAGGGGAAATAATGATTTAGGTCCCTTACCCTAGACTTTGGGGGCTGGCAGAGGCCCTCAGTATAGCTCCAGCCTGAGGAAGGATCTAGATGGGATGAGCTCTTCTGTCTTAGGTCCTGGATGGCTTTTTGAGACCTTGTCCCCTTGCCTGTACTTAAGGCTTGGGGTAGTGTTTGGTGACTCAGGTCCAAGGAAAGAATTCTGTCCCAGTGAGCTGTGTTCAGGTCATCTTGAGTCCCCAGGAAGTAGCCTTCAGAAAGGGATGTGTTCTTCCCAATTCAAGTTGAGAAAAGTAGGGTGGAAACTCCTATCATGGCCAAAGGTAGCTCCTTTCCTGCGGTTCTTTAAATACTAGGGGCCCTGGCCATAAAGAAATAAGAGTGATAGTCCACTTTTTTCAATGTTTCCTTTACCATCTTTGGTTTAATCTCAACCCTCTGTAGCCTGTCCGGCTGGCCCCTGAGCGAGAATTCATCAAGTCCTTGATGGCAATCGGCAAACGGCTAGCCACGCTCCCCACTAAAGAGCAAAAAACACAAAGGCTGATCTCGGAGCTTTCCCTGCTCAACCATAAGCTCCCTGCCCGAGTCTGGCTTCCCACGGCTGGCTTTGACCACCACGTGGTCCGTGTGCCCCACACACAAGCTGTTGTCCTCAATTCCAAGGATAAGGTAAGAAGCTCTCACCCAGACCCTTCCTCTCACCTGTCAGCATTCCCATGATTGCTCAGGCATTGCTCCTTACCGGTATGCTAGAGACCTTTTTAGTTTATGGTGCATATGCTAACGGTGACTCTACTTCATTGCTCTTGTGATGCTGAGAACCTGAGAACCCTCCTGCCCAACTTCTTGAGTCTTGTTTTTATGGACCAAAGTAGCCTAATGATTTCAGTTTACCTTGTGCCATATTGAGGAAGAGTGGCTTTTCACCTACTCCTTATCCTCCTTTTGGTACCTCCTCCAGCCTTTCTCTAACTTTTAGGCTATCCAGGCATAACCACCATATATGTAAAGGAAAAAGTTTATAAGACATTTTTGATCAGAGTGGGCAGAAAGGAAAGAAATACTCCCACTCCCAATTCATACTAGGGAAAATAAGCTATGTTTGTCTGCTTTCTAGAATGATGAGATGGTCCTCATGGTCCATATTCTCTCAGAGGAAGTATTGAAAAATAGGATTCTCCTTGACATGCATCTCACTTTATCCAGTTTTTGTGTCTGCCTTCCTGGGCCCTGACTTTAGCATGAGCCCACAGAGCTTTTAGGCCTCTCTGAAAGACTGTCATTGATAGTTGGAACAGTTTTTTGCAGTTGTGCATGGGTCTTCTGAAGCCCTGATGATAAGCTCAGAAAGCGTGTGCACCCTTTACCCAAATGTAGTACACGTTCCTACCAGTGCATGTTGTCCATGGTCATACTGGACTGCTGAAGACGGTTTGAACAGGAAGAACTGTGTCAGTAGAACTTAAATAGGGAGGTAATGGCACATGCTCTCATCCCCCCTCCCCCCCCAGGCTCCCTACCTGATCTACGTGGAAGTTCTTGAATGTGAAAACTTCGACACAACTAGTGTTCCTGCCCGGATTCCTGAAAACCGAATTCGGAGTACACGGTCTGTAGAGAACCTGCCTGAATGTGGTATCACTCATGAGCAGCGGGCTGGCAGCTTCAGCACTGTGCCCAATTATGACAATGATGATGAAGCCTGGTCGGTGGATGATATAGGCGAGCTGCAAGTGGAGGTGAGGGATCTCCAAGGAGATAATCTTAGAGGCACAGCACTGTTTTCTAGGAGCTTTTGATACATGTGAAATAACACACCTGTTAGCAGAGTGAGGCACATATCCATATGAATACTGTACATAGTACGGGGTATGAGAAGGGAATGCTCTGAATAGCTGGTTGGAATAGGTTCAAGCTTGTTCTGTTACAGCAGGAGTTGCAGGTTGAATGTAAGGAGGAACATCTAGACCTAAGGAGAAATTAATAAAAATGTAAGAAACACCAGCTATATAAAGTTGATTGAGGACAGTAGAGACTGACAGGCCATGCATGCATTCAGTCAGATATACAATGGGCTGGAGACATGACTCAGGGTTAAAAGCATTGGCTGGCTGCTCTTACAGAGAACTGGATTCCTTTCCCAGTTTTCCCACCTTTGCAGTGGCTCACAGCTGTCAGTAACTCCAGTTTCAGGGGGACCTGGTGCCCTCTTCTGGCCTCTTTGGATACTGCACATACATTAGACACACAGGCAAACACTCATATACATAAAATAAATATTTAAAAAAGAAAGAAATAGCTATAGCTGGGTGTAGTGACTCACAGCTATAATCTCACCCAAAAGGTTGAAGCAGAAGGATTATGAGTACTATATGCTAAAGACTTGACTAAAGGCTTGACTTACACCTGCAAGAGCGTATGTGCTAACAGAATCAGACCAGATAGCTGACAGTTGTAGTCTGGTGTGATCTGCGCTGTAATGGGGAGCATGAGACATTCTGGAAGTGCCCAAAGGTGGAGAGAATGCTTACTCCAGACTCTGCATGGGAATCAAAAGATTTCCTGGAGAAGTAATCTTTCAGCTGAGGCTTGAAGCATGGTTGGAATTAGCAGAACAGAGAGCATTCAGACCAAAGAAGAGAGAACAGAACATGACCATGATAGGAATGAAAAGAAACTAGTGTGCGCTGGATGTACAGTGGGAGGTGAGGAGCAGTGAGATGCAGGGGCAGTGACGAGTGAGCTAAAGAGGCCGCACAGACCTGACAAGCAGGCGCTCGCTCAGCCCTGTTAGCTGTGGGAAGAAACGGAAGGAAAGCAGAGCAGGATTTTATGTGATAGTGTTTAGTGAAAAAGACAGAGCTCTATGTTTTTTACAGTCTAGTGGAAGTTACACGTGGACATTTAAGAAGAAAAATGAAGATACACACGTCACTGTTCATTAGATGGCAGGCAGAATTGAGAGTACTTCGTAAAAGGGAGGACAGAGACTTCTTGGGGCCCGGCAGAATATTTTATACTTAAAAGTGAGGAGATTAGGTGGAGATTTAGCCTGACGAAATACATCTGAATGTGGTGGTTCACCTATAGTCCCAGAATTTAAGTGGAAGCTGGGAAAGCAGGAATTTGAGACCGTTTTTAGAGAGTGTTGGGTGTATCCTAGAAAGTTTACAAAAATTCAGCTTCTAGATTTCATTCCCAGTAGTTGTAATTTGGGCTGATGGTGAGAACTGAGACTCTGCACTTCCTCTGCATTCCCATGAATTCTACTGGAATAGTTCACACTTTCAGGACGATGCTGTGGGATCCATGACTCAAAGCCATAGTGATGTAGAACCCTGGTGGCTTTGGGAGAAGGCTGGAGTGGAGTGGTAGGCCACTGTGCCATAGGTAGTTAGTGGCAAGTAAGCAGAGGGCAAGAGGGAGATCTGTGTTTAGCACTTCTGACCTGCTCTTCCCAGCTCCCTGAAGTACACACCAACAGCTGTGACAACATCTCCCAGTTCTCGGTGGACAGCATCACCAGCCAGGAGAGCAAGGAGCCTGTATTCATTGCGGCAGGGGACATCCGGTATGGCCAATCACAGCATCCTTCATCTTCATCTTCTTCACTCTACCTCTCTTTGTCCTGTGCCTGGTCACCAGCTGTCAGCCTTGTGTCTCTCTCTTTTATCTCCTTACTTTGTCCTTGTTCTGTATTTGAGGCCCTGAAGGTGCAGCCGAAACATTGCTTGAGCTACTACAAAAAGAAATGACATTTTAAGAAAATTCCAAAAAGAAGAAAGTGCCCCAGAGGGCATTTGAGCTTCACTTCTCCAAGCTGCACTTGACTAGCATGTGAAAGACCATGGGTTCAGTTCCCAGCACCACAAAAAAGAAACCCAAAGCCAATAATCAAAGTGAGACCCCCAAGTGGAATCCTTCTCTTTGAAGGCAGAGAGGAAATCTTGTTATACATGCAGATTCTGGAGTCATACCTTTTCTGAATCAATATTGGGATAGAGGAATGAGGAAAACCAGGCTCTCTGCATTCTAACATAATCACAACTACCAGGTTAGCAAAATGGAACTGCTGATGATGCTTAATTCTCTGGCTTCCCAGCACCAGGAATCTGCCAGGAATCTAGGAACTGTGGCAAGGGAAAGTGGGCAAAGCATGCATGCAGCTCTGAGATAACTCTTCAAGGTAAATTGTGTATTTTCTTCCTGCTAGACGGCGCCTTTCAGAACAGCTGGCTCACACTCCCACAGCCTTCAAACGAGACCCTGAAGACCCTTCTGCAGTCGCCCTCAAAGAGCCCTGGCAGGAGAAAGTGCGGTGAGGAGGGTAGAGGGTAAAGAGTAGTCTCAGTACCACTTCATATTCCAAGGCATCATCAGGTGCTCACCTCCTCCATTGCCCTTCTACCTCCAAACACTCCATCAGGCTTCCTCTGTGGTCCTTACCCTGGCATCATCCTGTGACTTCTTTCTTCACAGGAGGATCAGAGAAGGTTCTCCGTATGGCCATCTTCCCAATTGGCGACTCCTTTCAGTCATTGTCAAGTGTGGAGATGACCTTCGCCAGGAGCTGCTGGCCTTCCAGGTGTTGAAACAACTGCAGGTAAAGAAATGGAAGAGAATTCAGCACAGCAAAGAAAGGAAACGAAACACACAGGAAAAGGGGCATTGAAAGGAAAGGCTCTCGGTGTAACTCCAGGGAGCTCTGCTGGGCACCTGCTTCTTCTTTTTTTTTTTTTTTTTTTTGTTTGTTTGTTTGTTTGTTTTTTGATTTTGTTTTTCGAGACAGGGTTTCTGTATGTAGCCCTGGCTGTCCTGGAACTCACTCTGTAGACCAGGCTGGCCTCAAACTCAGAAATCTGCCTGTCTCTGCCTCCCAAGTGCTGGGATTAAAGGCGTGCGCCACCACTGCCCAGCTGGGCACCTGCTTCTTACCCAGGTCTGAATGGGAAGATTAAACTGAAACTGGTTGGCCTTTCTCCAGAGAAGCACAGCCAGCCACATAATGAACAGCTCCATGGCAGCCTCTGTTGGTTCTTTCTGGAACTGCATCTGCCCTGTTCAGATCACTGAATGTCAGAGGGCCACACTTTTCTTTTCTTTTCTTTTCTTTTTTTTTTTAATTAAAGGGTGTGATTTCAGATAGGATCTTGTAATTCAGGCTGGCCTTGAACTCAGTTATAGTCAAAGATGGACTTGTAAACCTTGTAACCTTGATCCCCCGGCCTTCACCTCCCAAAGCTAGGATGATGTGCATGTACTAACACGTTTTGGATTTGTCCTTTAAATCAGAACCTCCCAAATGATCTGGGATGGACGGATTTACACTGTACTCAAGTATTTGGGTTTTGTTTTGTATTTTAGAAAAATATTTATTTTCATTTATGTGTATGACTGTTTTCCTGGCATTGCTTGTCTACATAGCATATGTGTACAGTGTCCATGGAGGCCAGAACAGGGAACTGGAGGTAGTTGTAAGAAGCCACACTGGAGCTAGGAACTGAACCCAAATCCCTGCAAAAGCAGGAGGTGCTTTTAGCACCTAAACCATCTCTCCAGCCCTTGCTTTGTCTTTTTTGAGACAGAGTCACTGTAGTTCAGGTTTACCTAGAACTCACTAAGTAGTCCAGGCTGGCCTTGAATTCATGACAGTGAATTCATGCATGAGCTTGAGTACTAGAATTACAGATGTACAACACTGTACCTGGTGTTGAGATGTTGATCATCTGGGTTGGTGATCTCCAAGAGGCTTCACCTGTTCAGTCCAATTCTCTATAATATTTGTAGGGTTTTTTGAAGGGTAGAAGTAGCTTGAACTAACTTTCTCTTGATTTTGGTTTTGTTTGTTTTTAGAAAGGCTCTCACTTGTAGCCAAATGGAACTTGCTTGTATCCTCTCCACTCTTAGCCAATGTCACTACTATTCTTGTGTCACCCCATTACTCCTGCCTCAGTTTCCCAAGTGCTAGGATTATAAGCAGTATGTAATATATGGCTTAAGTACTTTCATTTTGTTTTGTTTTTAAGGCAGGGTCTCATGTAACTCAGGCTGACTTCTGACTCTGCTGTAATCAAGGTTGACTTCAAACTCGTGATCCTCCTACCTCTACCTTCCAACTGCTGAGAATACAGCCTTATGCCACACATCCAATAGTAATTTCATTTTCTAAAGTAGCTTTCTTTGCCCCTAAAATCCCATCTTTTTATTATTCAAACTTATATTAATAGCTTCTAATCTCCCTACTTAGGTGATAGATTTACTCTTCTACCTTTTTCCTATCTCTGTGTGTAGTTCCTTCCCTTTGCCAGGCCTTGAACTTCCTTTTAAACTTCCTGGTTCTGTTGTTAGTGGTTGTGTACACCTATAGTCTTAGAACATGTGGAGACAGGGCTCAGGAATTCAAGGTTAGCTTACATGAGTCCCTTTCTCAAACAGAAAACTTCCTGGTTCTTAGTAGGTCAGTAAGTCTTACTTATTTAATGTCCTTCAATCCAAGACACCAAGGGAGAAAAGTTGAGAAGAAAATTTATTCTCTTGTTTGGAGAAAGATGAGCCACTCTCAATACCTTTGTGTCTCTTCACAGTCCATTTGGGAACAGGAACGAGTGCCTCTCTGGATCAAGCCATACAAGATTCTTGTGATTTCAGCTGACAGTGGCATGATTGAACCAGTAGTCAACGCTGTGTCCATCCACCAGGTGAAGAAACAGTCACAGCTCTCCTTGCTCGATTACTTCCTACAGGAACATGGCAGTTATACCACTGAGGCATTCCTCAGTGCCCAGCGCAATTTTGTACAAAGTTGTGCTGGCTACTGCTTGGTCTGCTACCTATTGCAAGTCAAGGACAGGTAAGTGACTTGTGCCCTTGATCCTAATCTTTCAGAGGGCTCTTCTCTATCCCTTCACATACAAGTTTTAGTTGGTGAAACAACATATTTTTAGGGAAGATTTGTTTGTATGACATTAAGCCAAAGAGGAAAACTGACAAGTGCTGGAGGAAGTGGGAAAGGAAACTGAGTATTTATAGGGTGAACATTTGAGTAGGGCAGAAAGGATAAAGGAGACCGAGGACAGATGCAGTTGTGGGAAGGATGAGGAAATGTTCCATTAGGATCAAAACGTGGATAGCAGGCAGTGACATCAGAGAACTCGAGGCTGAAGAGTCTGGGGGGTTTTGGTTTTTGAGACAGGGTCTTTCTATGTGACCCTGGCTGTCCTGGAACTTGATATGTGTAGATCAGGGTGGTTTTGAACTCAAGAGTTCTTCCTGCTTCTGCCTCCTGAGTGTTGGGATTAAAGGCCTGTGCCACCACACTCAGGGAGAATTTTATTTTGTAGGACAGGAGTGATGTGTTCTGGTCTATGTAGATGCCATATCATGCTGAGGATGAGGGTTGGTGTGACTGGGTCCTTAACTAAAAAGCAAGAGATAACATAGCCTGGTACATAGTGTCAGTGACCAAAAGCAAAATAGGAAATGGATGAGGGATTTTGTGGAGATAAGCTTGAAATTCCCAGTCATGCACTCTCCTTTATCCTCCATGATTTCCCAGCGAGTGCGCATTTGTGTGTGTGTGTGTGTGTATTTTTCCTGCACATATGTGTGCATACCTATTACCAGTGGAGGCTAGAAAGGGCATTGGATGCTCTAGGATTGGTGTTACAGGCAGTTGTAAGCCTCCATGTGGATGCTGGAAAGGAACTCAACATCCTCTGAAGGAGCAGCCCATGCTCTTAACTACTGAGCCATCTCTCTTGTCCCTAATTTGCACAATTTTAAAGTATCTTTTGTTTTGCCTAGATTGATGTTTCTTTCTATATCACATGATTTTTCAGAGGCCTAACCTCACATAGGTGAAGCATTTTGTATATTAATAATGGCTCCACCTATGTTCTGCCATCTAAAAGTATCTACAGGCGTGTGGTTTGGGGTCTGTGGCCTGAGTGCATCTTTTGGTTGCACCTTTCTCTGAACATTCAGTGGCTGGGGCCTGGCAAGATGGTTCAGTGGGTAAAAGGTATTGCTTAATCCCTGGAACCAACTCCATAGAGTTGTCATCTGACCTCCACATGTACACTATGGCATGTGCCATATGTGTGCCATTTGCACTCACATGCACACATACACACCAACACTTAAAGAAACAAATTTGATGGCCTATGTTTCCAGGGCTCCCAGTGACATGGCAGCCCAGTAACATTAATCAGTTGAGCAGCTTCTCAGAATCTAGCATCTATTTAGTGACTATATACCACGGATACACTACATCAAGTGAAAACTCTGTTAGGGGAGTGCTCCCTCAAGAGGAAGATAAGGGTCAGTGTAGCTTTGGGAGCCTACGGTCCTTCCTTCCTGCTGGGCTACAAGGCCATGAGCAAGGGCTCTATGTGAGAGCTGAGGGAGAGTGTACTCATACGGATCTTGACTGCACGTTTTAGACTGTCCCTGAGCTTCAGGATTTTGAACCCAGGGCCTAAAAACATCCCAGGGCTCAGCTCCAGGATTCAGTAAGTGGGGAGCAGAAAAGCTGGTGCAAGTTAGACCTCAGGAATTTCAGTTCTGAAGTTGATATGTAAAGGTAAAAGTAAAACTACCAAAAAGAAAATGTTTGGAAGATGAAAGTCTGTTCCTTTGGCAGGGCAGAGACCTGTATATCTTTTTTTTTCTTTATTCTTTTTTTTTTTTTTTTTTAATGTATGAATGTTTTACCAGCATGTATGTCTATGCACAACCAGCATAGGGTACCCAACAGAGCCAGAGAACATCAGATCCCTTCGGAGTAGAGTTACAGATAGTGGTTAGCCACTGTGTGGATGCTGGAAATTGAACCCAGGTCCTCTAGAACAACAGCCAGTGCTTGTAACCACTGAACCATTCCTCAGCTCCTGATAAACTATTCCTAATAACTTATAAAATAGTGTAGAGTTGGTGATGTAGCTTAAGTTTGAAGAGTGCTTTGCTTAGCATGCACAGTCCTCTGGATTTGATCCATTACTGCATAAACCAGGCATGATGACCGGTAGTTCTCACACTGGGAGTTAGCTGCAGGAAGTTCAAGATCATCCTAGCTATGTGGGGAATTTGAGGGCTGGACCACATGAGATCCTATCTCAAAAAAAAGAAAAAGAAAGAAAGACAAAAAAGACAACTGAGAACCATCTCATAAGAAGGTGGCCACAAATTAAGTCGTTGGTGTTGATCATCTAGGTCTAGGCTCCAACTTGATATTAAAAAATCACATACTCAACATGATTACCCAAAGCAAAGCAAAAAATCAGTCATCCTCAAAACTGTCCTGTAAGACTGAAATAGAGGAGTATGACCTGTGTGGCCAAAACTGTTGCCTATCATTACAGTAGCAATAATACAAATTAGGCATACATGTAGAATATACTTGAGTGTGCACTGTCATTGATCTAGTGATTTTTATTTTTTATGTGCTTTGGTGCTATGCCTGCATGTTTGTCTGTGTGAGGATCTCAGGTTCCCTGGAACTGGAGTTAAAGTTGTGAGCTGCCCTATGGGTGCTGGAAATTGAACCTGGGTTCTCTTAGAAGAGCAGTCAGTGCTCTTAACCACTGAGCCACCTCTCCAGCCCCATCAGGTGATTTTAATATTAATACAAGTCTGCTAAAACAGGCCCAGAAGAGTAAATCATTCAAATTTTTTTCTTTAGTAGAATTTCCCAGAGCATCTTTCTTACTGCATTTTTATTTTATGAGTGTTTTGCCTGATACACCATGTGCACACCTCATTCACCTCATTCCCACAAAGGCCAAAAGAGTGTCTGGAACTGGAGTTACAAGTGAGCTGCCATGTGGGTGCTGGGAATCAAACCTTAGTTCTATGGAAGAACAGCCAATGCGCTTTACTGTTGAGCCATCTCCCCAAAACTGCTTTTAAAAAGGGTGGTAAGGCTGGGCAGTGGGTACGCAGGCCTTTAATCCCAGCACTTGGGAGGCAGAGGCAGATGGATTTCTAAATTTGAGGCCAGCCTGGTCTACAGAGTGAGTTCCAGGACAGCCAGGGATACACAGAGAAACCCTGTCTCGAAAAACCAAAAAAAAAAAAAAACAAAAAAAGGGGGAGGGGGTGGTATGGGAAGGACTTAGTATATAGCTCGGTTGGTAGGGAGTTCACCTAGAATGCACAAAGCCCAGGGTTCAGTCTCCAGTACCTGGCACAGACTGGAAGTTCAAGGTCATCCTTGTATGTTCCAGGACAGCTTGGGAGTACATGAGACTGTCTCAAAAATAAAAATATTTTAAACATATCAATAACAAAAACTCAGCAAACATAGTTTGGGCATATAAGTTTTTTTCATCCATAGCTGAGGCTACAAAGAGGTACCAGCTTTTTGGCTGTGCACTGTTGTGGGCTCTCTGCCGATCAAGGAAAAGTTTGTTCAACAAAGGTAGGACACATTTAGGCCAAAGTAATTTTTATGTATTATCACTCGGACCAATCCAATGTTAAGACTCAGTTCTTCACTCACTCATTTCTGGAAAATATTCACTCTGGTGGTATCCTGGCAATAAGATCTTTTTTGTTTGTTTGTTTTGTTTTTCGAGACAGCAATAAGATCTTAATAGAAGTCTGAAGCGAAATTTGACACAACTATCATTTGGGGGAACTGAAAAGAGCATGTCCACTGTGCAACCAAGAGACTTACCTCTTTTTATTAAATGTACTTCAGGGATTTCTAATAGTATGAATTTCCAGTAAGTGGAATTTGTTATGTTCTGAGTTTTAAAAGATGAAATATAAATATATATTTTTTAATTTATCCAAAAGTCACTGTCAAGACAAATCAGAAAACAGTAAATTAGGACAATTAAAAACAAAACAAAACCCTCCATGTCAAAAGGAGTCTCAAGGCAGCTTTCTAGGTAGAAGCTAGGCCTGGCCAGGTAGTTAACAAGAATGAGAGAAACTGCCTATCACTGGCTTTGGAACATTGTGGGTAGGGGTGGAGTCACTTGTTCTCTCTGGGTCTAGACATCTAGAATTGTTCTGGCTGTCTAGATGGTGTGGGTGCTGTTACACTGTTGGTGCTTTCCCACAACTCAGGTGGGTCTTGCTCTCTCTCTACCCCTCCTCTTTCAGCCAGTCTGACCAACTCAGAGGTGGCCTTCAGCTGGGGCATGAGTGCTTGGCCTAACAAGGCTTCTATTGATAGTAAAAAGACTGGTCATGCTGAATAGGCCAGGCCTCACATGCTTAGCATGCTAATTGTTCTTCCTGCTGACATTAATGTGGGAATTACAAAGACCTGAGATATAGTCCTCTAACTCTTCCTCTTCCTTACAGCTGGCCTGTAGTATACCACTCCTAAGGCTTTTTTTAATGTAAGGCATTTGCCCCTACACTGTTTTATACGTAAAGGTTTTTCAGCACACATGATGATTCATATGATCTTAGCACTTGGGAGACTAAGGCAGACTTGGGCCAACAGTATATTCCAGGCCAGCCTGGACTACAGTACAACATATCTTTAGGGGAGAGGAGAGCCTGAGGAATAACTTCAGTCCATAAAGTTATTACCATAAAATCATGAGTATCTGAGTTCAATCACCAGAACCCACATAAAAACCCCTGGTGTATGGTGGCACACTTTAATCCCAGAAACCAAAGGATTTCCTGTGCAAACTGCTCTAGGGATTCTAATACTGAGGAGACAGATGCAGGTGGATCTCTGAGACTTTTGAGGTTACTGAGTACAGACCAGCCAGGCAGGGCCCTATCTCAAAAAAAAAAAAAAAAAAAAAAAAAACCTCTTACCAGGAACAATGCCTTACATTGACCTCTGGCCTTCACACACAAGTATACCTGTGTGTACCCACATACATGGACATAAAGTAGTAAACTAATTGTTGCTCTCTACTGATGGGACCTTGGTGCCATGGACTGGTTAAGAATGAAAATAATCCCAGCACTCAGGAAGCAGAGGCAGATGACCGAGTTTAAGGCCAATTTGGTACTATACAGTGAGTATTAGACCATCTGAGGCTGCAGTGAGACCCTGTTTCAAACTGATTCTGAATGAGGGCCTTCCCTCATTCAGAAAGCTAACTGCTGGAGCCTCAGAGACCTTTTCTTCTTACCTGTGTACTTACTACTTAAGTTAGAGTCAAGTCTGAGTACTAGAAGTAGAATTTGGGAGAAATTAGCATGTGTTAGTCTGGCTTCTGTGTTTGAGAGTGATCTTCAACTTAGGATCTTGCAGCCTCTGCCTCCCAGGTGCTGGAGTTAGGCATGTGCCATCATTCACACTGTTTATGTGGTGTTAGGAACAAAGCCAGGAAAAGGCATTACAGGCAAGCACTCTACCATCCTCAGCCTTTTGATAATCTTAAAACTATTTTTAGGGCTGGAGAGATGGCTCAGCGGTTAAGAGCACTGACTGCTCTTCCAGAGGTCCTGAGTTCGATTCTCACCACCCACATGGTGGCTCACAACCATCTGTAATGGGATCCAAGTGTACTCATACATAAACTAAATAAATCTTTTAAAAAAAAAACTGTTTTTATTAAGCTGGTAATAACTGAATTTCATACCCCAGTCTTTCTTCATAGTTTTCTAACTTCCTTTTGTTACTAGTTTTAGGTCCTAGGAAATTGACCCAGACTTGTAAGCAACAGGAAACATGGCTGAGGCCTCCCCTGTCCTGTATGGTGAGGCCAGTGTTGCAGCTTGAGATCCAACCTAAGCAAGACTTACTGTTGCCTCTTCCTCAGGCACAATGGGAACATCCTTCTAGACGCAGAAGGTCACATCATCCACATCGACTTTGGCTTCATCCTTTCCAGCTCACCCCGAAACCTGGGCTTCGAGACATCAGCCTTTAAGCTGACCACAGAATTTGTGGATGTGAGTCAAAAAAGAGAGGTGCTTCCAAGGGTCACTGTGTTCTTCCTCTGAGAGGAGCTGATGGACTCCCCCAAATTAGGAACAGAACAGAAATGGCAGTAAGTCAGGATGAGGCAGGATTTCTTGGGAGCTTTCTTATGAAAGAAAAAAAAATGTGAAGATAGTGATAGTGAGGTTTAACATGATTGCCTTAAGAGAAGGAAGTTCTGAGAGGCCCACAGGAAAAGGACCCACCAGAATTCCTCTGTGCACACACTCTCCTTGCTTCCAGGTAATGGGTGGCCTGAACGGTGATATGTTCAACTACTACAAGATGCTCATGCTGCAGGGGCTGATTGCTGCTCGAAAGCACATGGACAAGGTGGTCCAGATTGTGGAGATCATGCAGCAAGGTGTGGCTCGGGGGTGGGGGGCCTGGCCTGGGGGCCTCAGGTTGGGCTGCCTGCAACTTAGAACTTTTAGGAAGTTGACTCCACCTCAAGACTTAGGTGGGGGAACATTTCTCAGAGGGTCTCCATTTCCCCTTTGGAACATTCTTTACCCTGGTAGAACTGGTTTTGGAGGTGGGGCAGGAGAAAAGGAACAGCAGAAAGCTCTTAGGTTCCCTCACAGTAAAACCGAGCCACTTTCAGCCTCCTGGTTTTTCCATTCTCCCATTCAACTGTATCTCTCAGTCTTCTTCCTTCTCTGCTACTTCTACCCACTTCTCTCCCATTATCCTTGGCCTGACTGCCCTGACTTCAGCCACCACCATCCCTACTAACCTATCCTGTTCAGCTCTTTCCTGCCTCTTTTTCCTTTCACTTTGCCACTTCCTTGGTCCCGGTTTTTTGCACAGGACTCCTTCCTTTTCCAGTTCCTCTGGGCCCCTCTTATTCCCCCACCCCAGACTCCAGATGTTTACCCTACCTAAGCTGCCAGTCTCCTCCTCCCCATCCTTGCCCCTACCCCACAGGTTGCCGTCGTTGCTCAGGAGCATCTCTGTCTGGCCCCGTGGTGACGGTGGCCCAGGTCATCTGTGAGTGTCAGACCTAGCATAGGCAGAGGCCTGCAACCAGATAAGTGCAGGGCCCATTCCCAGAGCCTCTTCCCAGCCTTCCCTCTGGGCCCTAAGACATCTCTCCAATGCTTACTGGGGAAGTTGTGGGCTTGCCTTTCCCTATCCTGCCCATATACTCCCACCTACAGAGGAACTAAGGAGTATGGGATGAGGATGGACTGAAAACAAGGCTTCCTGACTGCTTTTCTTGGCACAAGCAGAATTGCTCTATACCATCAGGGATCCTGGTGGTGGGGAGGGAAGGGGTACTCCAGCTCTTCTCCCTGTGACACTAACTACTGGCCTGCCTTCCTAATTGTCTGTGACCCTTAATTTGCACTGCTTCCCTCCAGGTTCTCAGCTTCCTTGCTTCCACGGCTCCAGCACCATTCGCAACCTCAAAGAGAGGTTCCACATGAGCATGACTGAGGAGCAGCTGCAGCTGCTGGTGGAGCAGATGGTGGATGGCAGCATGAGGTCCATCACCACCAAACTCTACGATGGCTTCCAGTACCTCACCAATGGCATCATGTGACACCATTTTCAGGACTAGAAGTGGTGGGATTGAAGGCATCCTCCTTAGGACCCTTGCCTAAGAAAACCCAAATCACAAAACCCCACCTACCTACCCAAGGGAAATGGAAGGCAAGAAATACAAAGGATCATGTGGTAACCATGAGAGCTTGCCAGAGGGTAGGAGAGCCAACCATGGGGTCCAGACTTGCTGTGTCAGTATTACCCCCTGACAGATCCCAGGACTCACTGCTCTCCAGAGAACAGAGGTGATGAACATGAGGAGGACTGGAGCCTTCTTCCCCTCAGGGGGTCTCAGAGGTTTTCTACAAACCATCTTTTATTTTCCCTGGGTCCCAGCAAGATGGGAGGAGTGGGTTCTTGGTACTTAGGACTTAATCCTATGTTTGGCCATGCTGCTGCCCAACTCCGTCCCCTCCTGGGAGCTGACCCCTGGGCCCACATTCCTGAGAGGTGGGTCCCCATCATGGGGGTGAGGAGGGGAACTGACACAATCCCTCTAATGTACTGAGGGCATTGGCTTAGCCATAGGGAACTCTTTACCCTGATCCTTTCCTCACACCCAGGGAATTAGCTCTCGGTTTTTTTGTTTTTGTTTTTTTTTTTTAATTTTTGTTTGAAATAAAGTCCTTAGTTAGCCATCTGTGTCTTGTTGCTTCTGGGAGTGGGAGTGCTTGAAAAGGGTTAAGTCCAGCATACACAAGATGAAGGAAGATTGCTTTTTCCATCTGTCTTTGTCAATACTGCCTCTTCCCTGAGAAGGGCTTCCCCGGTTCTGACTCCCCCCCTCCTATCAGTACACATTATCCAACTCACAGAAAAAGAAAAGCCTGAATGGGGATTAAACCACAAGCAGTTTTAATGGTCTGGTTTTCTCCCTCCTGTTTCTCCCACTGTTAGTATTACTACTACAAGAATAAAGGATTCCTGAGAGCCTGTCCTCTCCTCTCCCTGGACCCTATTTGACAGTACTCATCCCCACCAACCCCCCCCACCCCTAAATTTCTGGGGGAAAAAGACAAATGGAAGGCACTGCAGGGATTGGGGTGGGGTGTTAGTGCCAATGAGTGTTGGAGGAGGGGATACTAGGGCAGAACCCAGCCCAGAGAAAGAATACTGCTCTGTGCCTGAAGAAATCTAGTAGAGGGGTAGAAGCTAGACCCTGTACATCCTTCAGTCCATCCCTGTGCTTGTCTAGCAGGCTTGCCAAGGTCCCATCCTCCCACATAGTTACTGGGGGTCTGCAGCAGGAGCATTAGTGTTGGATTCAGAAAAGAAGAAAGGAGGACCCACTTAAGTAGGACCTAGGGGCCAAACCCAAGAGGGAGGGGGGGTGCAAGTCACTAGAATCCTCAAAAGCCTTTCCCTCAGAGATGGAGAAAGAAGTAAATGTTAAACTCCCAGTCCAGGGAGGTGACAGCAGCAGTGAAACCCAAGTCCCAGGGAAGAGGCCCGGTCATTTTGAGGCTGGAACCTAGTTGTCTCCACTGCCTCCCTGCCGGGCCCTGATGAATGCCATGCCATGTGTGCGGAAATGGGTCTTGAGGTTGAGAGGACTATCACAGCTCTTGCCACAGACCTTACAAGTCAAAGGGCCTCCAGAAGCAGGTAACGGTGAGTCTCCACCCTCTGGGTCAGAGCGTAATGGAGGAGCCTCCTCTTCCCCATCCCCCAGCCCCAGGACACTGGCTTTACCCCCAGCCCGTCTCTTCTTGTGGCTAATGAACCGGTGGCGGCTCAAGGAGCCGGGGGAAGCAAAGCACAAGCCACAGTCAAGGCACTGCTGAGTGCCACCATCCACCCTCAACCCCACAAGGCTCTGTTCTGCTGAACCACTGCTTCTATAGCGCAGAGGACCGTGGCCTCCTGACCCAGGGCCACCCCTCAGGGACTTGGCTGGTGGTGTTGTACTGTCAGGCTCCTCACTGCATGAGTCAGAAGACTGGCGGCGTTTCCGTCCTGGCCCCTGGAGAAAAGTGGAAGAAACCGGGCCTCACCATCACCCTGGTTTCCTGAGACCAAAGTCTCACTAGTTTCTCAATCCCATGACATAAGGAAGGCCTTTTCTTACCTGGGCTCTGCCACCAGAGCCTCGACCCAGGGAGCCTCCTCGGCCAGAAGACTGGGTCCCAAGAGGCAAGCCATGGCGGACCTGGACATGCTTCTCCAGGATCAGGCGACTACTGAAGGTACGCTTTCCCTCTGTACAATACCTAGCAGAGGTAAAGTGGGTGAGATGGCTCCAGAGGCATAGGCAAACAAGACCCATAGCTCTTGAGAGAAGGAAGGCTGCCACAGCAGAAGGTGGCCTCAATCTTCAGATCCCTCAAGCAAGAGACAGGTGGCCAGGTACTCTCTGGGAGGGAATGAGTAAAGGTTACCTGCACGGATACACTCGCTTGATTCCCTCATGGTTGACCCTGACATGGCGCCTCAGGCTTGGGGCAGAGCAGAAGGAGCGCTCGCACAGGCGACAGGGGAACTTTTTCACTGACTAGAAAGCAAAGGGTGGGAATTTTCAGTCACTCGGGTCAACCCCAAGGCAACCCTCCAGCCCCACATTCCCAGGTGAAACCCAGTTCACCTTGCCGTGCTCCTTCTTCATGTGAGTCACATATTCATCACGCTCAGGACACCACGAGTGACAAAGGCCACAAGTCCAGCCTCCAGGTCCCCCACCCCCACCTTTAATGTCTTTGTTTCCCAGTTCTCGTCGGGGTCTTTTGGTTGGGCGGGGAGGCTCAGGGGAGCTAGGCAGCTCTTCTTCAGAAGATGAGGAAGATTCCTCAGTAGCAGGGGCTGCCTCTGCCTGAGATACAGCCAGCTCCTCAGGCTCAGTCTTGGGGGTCAAAAGGGCAGCCCCAGCCCCTTTCCCAGCTGCCTCTTCCCCTACACGTCCAGACTGATGAGTGTTCTGTAAGACAAGGAAGATGGCTACATGGAGGAGAGCCTGGCTTTGGCAAAGTCCTCATTTCACCCCTTATCCCCACTGCCAGGGTTCTAGGACCCTAGTGCAGGTCAGCACAACTAGCTCAGTATCCATTCCCTAGCCTTTGCTCCTCCTGTACCTTGAGATGCTCCAGCATGGTTCTTTTTTGGGCAAAAAGCAGAGGACAAGACGGGCACTTAAAGACACTGACACGCTGAGGCAGTAAGTGCTGGTCGAAGTGTGAGGAGAGGAGGGGTTTGTGAGTGAAGACTGTATCACACATGGCACACTTATAGATCAGCCTGTGGGGGGCAGAAGGGCCAGTATAAACATGAGCAATACAGAGCCCTTCCCTGCACCCAACCCTCCAGTCCACCATCCCACCACCTCTTCACCAGCCCACCTCACCACCATGCTCCCTCCCCAGGGCTCACTTGGCTTGCTGGGTGAGGAAGCTTGGATGCTGGGAGTAGAGGTGGGCATGGGCGCTGGGTGCAGACTTGAAGGCCATGGGGCAGATGGGGCACTTGTGGAAAACTTCGCAGTGTGATGCCTGTATGTGGGACTTGATGGAGTTCACACCCCCAAACACCACTGCACAGCTGGGGCACCTTGGAGAGGAAGTGGGGGGGGGGTACTACAGTGAGGTGGGGGCATCTCCACCACCACTCTTGTTCTTCAGAAGGAAATCAACAAAGGAGCATGAGCAAGGCAGAGAAAGGAAGGAGCCTCAGTCCCAAAGAGAGGTCTGAGAAGGCAGAGCTGCAATTCCACCAGGGACCCTGCTCTCCACTGCTCCCACAATACAGGACTTGATGGCAGGGCGTATTCAACACAAAAGGAAAAATGATGGTTCTCCTTGAGAAGCCATCTAAAAAGGTTACTGCTAACAAACAGATCCTAAAGTTCTAGTGAGGAATTGAGTATCAGGCACCTGTATCCTACACGGCGAGAAAAATGCAGACAAGCCTCTCGAAGATGGGTCTGAAAATTAGCTTGTAGGAAGTTGCCCCCACACTCAGGACAGACGTGGGGGGGTCGGTTCTTATGTGTGCGCTGGTGGGCACTGAAGCTGCAGCGATTGGGGAGCATCATGGGGCAGGATGGACACACCTGTCAAGAGATTAAACAAGGTTCATTGACGAGGGGTGCCCTATATCCTATTACTTTGTTTAAGCAAGCTCCCAGTACCTTCCTGGATTTTTACCTCCACAGCATCTGGCTGTCCCTTCCCCCAGAGAAGGGAAATAAGAAACAACTCACATTGCTGGTAGACCCAAGCGCAGGAGGGCCCAGCTGCTGGAAGTGGGCTGCCATGCCAGCCTTGTCGCGGCACTGCTCCTTGCACTCCAGACAGCGAAAGCACGTGTAAACAGAGGCAGTAGGGGGAGCAGGGGGCTCTGTTGGGAGTGGCAGCACAGGAGCTTCAGTGGCAACTGTAGTGATGGTAGAGGAAGTGACAACCCCCTCTCCCTTGCCCAAAACAGGCAAGGCCAGAGGTCCAGGAACAGGTGGGACAGCCACAGGCAGCAAGGGTGTAATGTCTGGCTGCCCTACCATCTGGTCAAGGGCTACAGGCCTCATGACCAAATGTGAGCACTGCATGACAAGCCCCTTGTCCTTGTGCTCACGGGCATGCAGGAGTAGGCTACACTTGTTGAAGAAAACCAGGCGACGGGCACAGTGGTTACAGGTGACCTCTATACGCATGCTTCTGCGATCATAGTGCCGTGCCAGGCTCTTCTCCAGTGAGAAGGCATCTCCACACTCAAGGCAGCGGTAGCCTGTTGGAGGCAGGGCCAGACCAGCCTCAGCTGGTGGACTCAGGTTTGGTCTATAAGCAGGCAGCAGGTTCTTGCTGTTGAGGATCTTGTTGAAGGCCTCTACCAGACTAGACTGGGTTCGAGAGATCACCGAGCCTCCTGCTGTGCCTGGCCCAGTAGCAGACTTAGAAGGCTGTACCATCACCACTGAGGCACCATTTACCTTCTGCCCCCCAAGGCTAAACCCTGTCCGAACTTCAGCCTTGGGCAGAGTTTGGGGCACCAGACCTAACACACTCTTAGTCATAGTCTTAGGGCTGGTGGCATTGCCCCCTGGTAGAACCACAGCTTTTCGGGCAACACTAGCTGCCATGAGCATGGCAGTGCTAGCATTCTGGATGGTAGCCACAGGCAACACTGTCCCTTTCAGCCTTGTGCCATCACCCAATTGGACACTCACCACCTTTGGACCCTCGGGGGTTGGAGTTACAGGGGACAATTTCAGGAAGCTAGCCTCAGCCAGGAAGGCCCCCTCAGCCAAAGGGGCAGGAGGATCAGGTTCTGAGGGAACCCGGGTTACAGTTCTTGTGATATTCCCACAGGATGTTTTAATAGTCTTGATCCGCACCTTGAGGGGCCTAGAAGAGCTGGAGGAGGTAGGAGAATCATTGCTGTCCTCATCTGCAGCCTCAGCTCCACTAGAGGGACTCTGGGGACTTCTTGGGGGAGACTTGTCCACTGTTCCCTCATCTTCTTCCTTCAGGGGTTTACAGCTGGGTGCCTTTACAGGGGAAGCAGGAGGGCTCTGGTGTCCCGGAGATTGCTTGAAGGACACCCCAGCCACCTGCGGGGGTGAGACACTGGCAGGGATGCCTGCTGCCTCAGGGCTAGAGCCTGAGCTTCTCTGGTTTAGGCCCTGGGAATGAAGAGGGCTGCAGCTTTCCTGTTTCAAGGCCCCTTGAGGCAAGAGAGAAGTAGGAGGCAGCAGGGTTGAGCCATTTTCTGGGGCCAGTTCAAAAGGAGTGGAAAAAGGAGGTGGACCCATGTCACCATCCCGAGGTAGGGAAGGTTCAGGAGGTAGGGGAGCTGAGTGGTCTCCTGGTTCAGACCCGAAATGAGCAAAGAGGTCCAGGCATGTTTTGCCTTCCACAGCTTTTTCTTTCCAGGCATCCCCACTGGCAGGTGCTGAAGAATGGGGAGTTTCTAAGAGGGATGGCTCAGAACCCCCAAATCCATTTCTCATCAGACAAGACCCCACAGGTCCTTCCTTAGTTACAGCCCCAGCCTTACTCTCTTCCTCTCCTGAATTCCCAGTCAAGGTCTCAGACTGCTCTGGACACACTGTGTTCTTGACAATGACACTGACTGTAGAAGTATCCAGGGGTTGTGGAAGGCCATGGTCAGAGGCCTCAGCTGGACTCTCAGGGTCATTCCCAGCAGCTGCTGCTGCTGCTTCTCTGTCTTTAGAATCACCTCCTACACTGCATTCTGGCTTCCCTTGGCCTCCTGGTCCCTCATTTTCTTCTGGCTCAGAGTGAATGGCTTCATTTGCATCAATATCAGGGATGTCAAAAGCAGCAAGGAGGTCATCAAAATCAGGGGTCTTCATGTCCCCCATAGTGACAGGTCCCAGACCTAATGAAAACAGTAAGAGTGAGGAGAAACTGGGATCCCCGTTATCTAGACCCTGAGCCTCCCCTTCTCAGCACTCTGTATGTACCCCACTGACTTGTACATCTCCACCACACTGTGAATCCTAGAGAGCTGCTTGAGGTACCAGTGTGCCAAACCCTAAAATCAGGTTAGTGGGAAAACACTAGGGACTGCCAGAATCAACGTCCAGAGAAAACTAGAAAGAGATTCTTAGAAATACAAAGGAAAGTAAGAGAAGTTGAAGGTTCTCAGAGATCATCTCCACTGAAACCAGATAAACTGTTCCTGTGCCTCGAACAGAACCAATTAACCAACAGGAGTACCACAGAGGACGGCAGACATTAGGATCAATATTATTCATGAAATATGAAAGGAGGGGGTTCATAGAGATCTTAAAGGCCATTTACACATAGGAGCAGTGATTATGGCTAAAACTTAAATTGCTCTGCCTTTAGCTTTATCCCTGCTGTTCAACCAAGTTACTGCACTGCCTTACTTTTGCTGTTTCAAAGAGTGGACAAGTAAAACATGTATCAAAGTTCTTCTTCAAACATACAATCATACGTGTTGAGTGTCAAATCCAGAATATGCAATTTACTAATGCGGGGGGTGGGGGGAAATTAGGACAAGTGAGATCAAGCAAGAGCTGGCTGTACTGGGAAGGAGTATGTACTGACCACCTAGGGCTAGGGTCAGACAGAGCTAAGAGTCAGAGGTCAGTTAAAGCTGTATGCGAAAGATCTGGAGCTCCTCCAGTCACCCAGAGCCCTAGCATTGTCAGCAAGGAGAAACTGATTCAAGGTAGAAAGAATAAGACACAGAAAGAGGTGGAAGAGGGGCATAGTCACAAGGGCCCCAGCTGAGTCCTCTCCTGTCACAAACACCTGCTGCTTGCTCACCTTCCCTAGAGTGTCTTCCCTCCTCCCTCCTCTACCCTGCTCTCTCAGGGTTAAGACTCCAGGGTACAAGCTGATCAACATAGCTGCCACACTGGGGGAAAGCGCCTATTTCCCACTGTCATTTCTGCCCTACGCTCTTCACCCTGTCTACCCTCTAACTCAAATTCCACCTTCTTGGGTAACAGTAGCCTAGAAGTCTCCCCCAACCTTAACCTGGCCCAGGGAGGATTGGGGGAGGGGGTAGTCCCAAAAGACTTATGTGTCACTAAAGCAACAAGGAGGCCAGCCCAGGAACTGTAGGAGACCCACGTTCTATCTTCTATCTGTTCTTAACCCTAAGTGATTCTGTATCTAGGAAGACTCAACAAAGAAGGGACAAATTCGCTCCCCTTTACACATTCCCTGCCCAGGATGCATGCCATTTCCCAGGGCCAATTCTCTCACCTCTTTCCAGCCTTCAGACTGTAACTGGAGATAGTCCCAGCAGGTGGCGGCTGGCATTGCACGGACCAAGGTGGGGGTGGGGGGCAAGGGTACCAACTAGAGGAAGAAAGGGTAGTCCTCCTTGTACATTACCCCTCTACTTAATACTGCACATTCTGGGTTTGAACAAAGCCCTTAGTTTTAACCCAGATGAATCGCTAGGTCCCCCTTCAATTTGGCTCTCCCAGGTCGGGAGACCTGGGCAACCTTCCCACTCAAGCTCCCAGTAGGGTGGATCGTGGAGTGCAAACCAATGGGGACTAAGAAAACACCTGCGAACCTACCTCTCCCAACCACCTCCCTCTGGCGTGCAAGTGACTTGGAGGTCATCCGATAGCCACCTGGAGCAGACAGTGGGCCAAGCACAGAGGCTTAAGGCCAATGAAGATCCTCCACTCAGCCGCCAGGCCTCTGGAGCTGCCATCTCCCTACCCACTTTCCTTCTCTGTTCTCCAAAAGCAAAAAGGGGCTTAACAAGAAGAGGATGAACAGACACGGGTCGGGTGGGGGCTCCACTGCCCTTTGCCCAAGGCCTACAGTGAAGAGCAAAACGAAGGGGCCAGAGCACGGCTGGGGGCGATTAGGCTGCGGCCAAGCTGGGCAGCAGGCGGCATTTAAGTCCCTGCCATCTGCCAGGGACTGGCGCGGAAAGTAAGTCCGGGGTTTCGGGTAGGGGACGAGAAGTACGTTAAAAAACTGAAGGGTAAACTGAGGCGAGTGGTGCTTCTTTCACTTTCACTGGCTAAGAACTCAAGGCAGGGCCTCGGCGAGGCCGGGCCCTTACGATCTGCGGCGAGGCACACAGGGGGCCAGGACTCCCCGGCAGTGGGGAGTGGCGCGAGGGGAGTGGAGACACAAGAGGGGGCGGTCCCTGCGTGATTCTAAGATCTGCAGCCAGGTCAGTCCCGACTTGAACCTGGTCCCCTTCATCTCTGCGCCCCGCGCAGCTTGTCCCGGCTCCGACCCCCAGAGGCTCGCTCCAGACCCGAGTGACTGCAAGGCGCGCACCAAGGCTCAAGGCGCTAGCTTGAGTCCTGCCTGGGCTCGGACACTGACCAGCACCCGGTCGGGATGCAGGCTCCTCTACGGCTGGGCCCAATTCCCCCGCCCCCATCGCCCGGCACGGACACCATTTTAGGTCGCGACATCCCGCAGCCTCGAGTCCCCCCGGCCGCACTCCGACTGCCTCTTAGTCTAGGAGCGCCAGGACTTAGGGGTCCAGGAACCCCCTCCCACATTACCGGGCTAGGGGCAGTGCTTCCAGGAAACCGGAGTTTTCACTGGTGGTCCTCGAAGAAGAAGGCGGCGACCCCGCTAGGCAAGCAGCCGCCCCGGGGGGCGGCGGCACGGAGAAGGGGGTAGTTGACCAAGTGGGGGAGGGGCAGGGGTATTTACCCGCCCCCCCGGGAGGCGGAGCCAGGGGCGGGTATTTGCCGCGAGCATGCTTACTTGTTCCGATCCTACTGCGGGCTGAGACCCTACGGCCTCCCCTCTGGTTCCAGCCGCCACCGCCGCTGCCGCCGCCGCCGCCCTCCCCGCGGCCGCCGCTACTTCCTGCTTCTCTCCGCTTCGGCCTCCCCTCTCCCTCAGCTCCCTCCGCGCTCCTAGTCCGGGCTGCCCGCTTTCATACTCGCCATTGGCTAATGGACCCGTCACTCAACTGTGAGCCCCACCCAGCCCCGTACGGGGTTGGCCCTCCATACCCCGCTCGGAACTGGCCCCTCATAGTCTTCTCACTGCGATTGGACGGGGGGCCTGGGCCCTGTGGAGAAGCCTCTTCCCATTGGCTATCCCGAAGTCCACCTGCCCCGTCTTCGCAGCCCGAAATCCATTGGCCGCCGCCGCTGTCGCTTAGCAAGAAGCCAGCCTTAGTTTCCACTTTGGGTTGCGAGGGGTGACTAGCTCAGAAGCGTGGCCGTCCCCTCTCCATTGGTCGCTCGAAGCTGGACACTGTGCTTCACGAATGCAAACTTAGGAACTCTAGCTGTATGGCGGCGCGTCTAGGGGAACATTGTAGGTTCCGTGTGGAACCTGGGTGTTTTAAGTGTTCGTGCCGTTTCCTCAGGCTAAGCCGCGAACGCAAGGATGCGGTGCTGGGGTCACAAAATGGGGTGCCACCCCCAAACATTACGTCATCGGGGTGACCATTGCCTCACGTTCCTCGCAGTCTAAATTGCTTTAAAATCCGGTTGGATGCGGTTCTGGCGTCCGCCTGCCTCTAGGCGTATGCACCACGCATAGCCCCTCCCTCTGCGGGAGAGCCGGACAGACTTTGGGAGTCAGAGTGTAAAAGAAACCGGAACCATCGAGACCTGAGACCTGGGACACGCTGCGACCGGAAGTGGGGGAGGTGACGTTGGGAAGTGCTGGCGTGGCCTGGGCCACAACCAAGGAGAGCTTAAGGTAGTATGCTGATAGGCTTCTTACGCGAGAGAAGGTGGGAGCCCAGGTCTATTTCCCATTTAAGAGAGCTCTTTTTTCCCCGCCCCCGACACGAGCTGGCATTACTGTTCCAGTTGAGCTTTCCCGCGCTTTACTGCCCCGCCCCTTGGAGGCGGGAAAAGGGGCGGAGTCGCAAGGGAGACAAATTGCCTTGACACTCGCCCACCTGCACGCTTGCAGGTTTTTGCAGGATCCATCTGCAAGCCCAGTGTGCCACCTGGCGCGCACTCTACTCTGGCCGCGCGCCGCCGCCGCCCACCGCGACCGCAGCCGTTTCAGATTGACAAGGGTTTTTTAGTTTGTGTTTTATTTTCACTTTTTACAGTGTTCGTAGTGAAACCTAGTGCTTCACCCAGACCAAGCAAGCAACCCACCAGCATAGCAACTTGGCAAGGTTTAGTTTGGTTTGGCGATACTGATTATTGAACGTTGGGAGTCGAGTCGCACACGCTAGGCAGGTGCACTCGTAACACTGAAGCTACACTATACCCTATCACTTTGCCAGGGTTGGGTAAAGCTTTTAAAAGAAGGCTCTGTTACCAATCCTTGGGCCCCCATAGCATTGGACCTAAAAAGCTCGGACTTATGGATGGGAGGAATCTTGGAACCACCACATTCCACATGATGACGTCAGGCAAAACGTTCTACCTCCCTGAACCTATTGTCTCATGAATAAAATGGTAATTATAATATCCACCTGCCAAGATTATTTTTGTGAGCGTGAAAAACTTAGAAGGCAGAGTGCTATTTATAAAGCGATAGCAAACGGGATGAATGCAGCCCCTACCTCCGCCACACCTGCCATCTTTCTCTGCAGATGTTGCAGCTCACAGCACTCTCCTTTCTCTGAATAACTAATTTAGAGTTCCTTACTGGAGAGCCGAGGATGTGGCTCTGTTGGAAGATTATATTTTACAAACTTGGGTTGGTGTCTTATGCTCATAATCCCAGCACTTGGAAAATGGAGGCAGAAGTACCAAGTTCAAAGTCTTGGCTCCATGGAGAGTTTGATTTCTGCCTGGAATACATGAGACTCTGAGTCCGAGAAGGGGAAAAAAACGTACTGGATGCATTCCATTCCCGCATCCTCCTCTGGGTCTTTCTATAGGTTTAAAAATTACTATTCATATACATGTATTGTGATTAGAACCTAATCGTAACTTGTTTAATCCTTACAACTCTAGAGGAAAGTATTAGTATGGTCATTTTACAGAGAAGGAAACAAGCATAGACAGACTACATTAACTGATTTACACAAAGTCAGAAGCAGTGAAGTTAGAATTTTGAGAATCCAAAAGAGTAAGTGGTGAATTACAGATTCCCTTGCCAAGAGAATTCTGGACAGAAATTTGTTCTTCAATTAGAAATATTTTTCAGAGCCGGGCAGTGGTGGCCCACGACTTTAATCCCAGCACTTGGGAGGCAGAGACAGGCGGATTTCTGAGTTCGAGGCCAGCCTGGTCTACAGAGTGAGTTCCAGGACAGATAGAGCTACACAGAGAAACCCTGTCTCGAAAAACCAAAAAGAAAAAAAAGAGAGAGCGAACAGTGTGAATCTTCAAACCTCAAAAGCTGCCCTGGTGACATACATAGTCTAGCAAGAACACACTTCCTGAGCCTCCCAAACATCTCCATCAATTGGGGATCAAATATTCAAGTGCCTGAGACTGTGGGGGACAATTCATTCAAACTACCACACAAACCAGCCTATGCAAGTGAGACCCCGTGACCAAATGAGGGAAGGGTGAGGAAAGATACTTGAATTCAGATACTATTTCATAAGCACTATCTGTGAGTTAAGCACTATTTTGGGCTGGAGAGATGACTCAGTAGTTAATAGCACTAGCTGCTTTCACAGTTCCCAGCACCGACATGGAGGCTTACAACCATCTGTAACTAATCCTAGGGATTCTCACAACTTCTAGCTTCCACACACATCATACATGTATTACAGAGATATCCATGTAGGCAAGACATACATAAACATAAGAGAAAAAAACAGAGCCCCACACACATCACACATGTGGTACATAAATACCCATGCAGGCAAAACATACATAAACATAAGAGAAAAAATAAAACAGAGCCCCTGGTGTGACCTGGACATTCTTACAAATCAGAGGTCTCACCTACTGCAAAGGCCGAGACAAGCAGGCCTATCCAGCCTAGCCAACATAGTGAGATCCTGTCACTAAAACAAATTGTACAAAATAAAGAAGCATATTAGAAACAGTATTTGCCATGAGGGGATGGGAGGGTTATCAAAGCAATGAACATGCGTGAGGTCCCTATAAATGCATATTACCATTAATAAGTGGAAAAAAAACAAAACTGAAATGTTTACTGACTATACTATTCCAACTATATGAGACTCTAGACAAGGCAAAACCAGAGAGGCAGCAATAAGTTAGTGGTTGCCAAGGGCTTTCTTTGGTGGAGGGAAGGATGACTAGATAGTACACAGGGGAATTTTGTGGCATTGAACTTCTGTATGACTCTATAATAACAGATGTGACTCAAAATCCATAGATTGAACACAAAAGATGAAATTAATAATGATAATGCATTGATATGTGGGTCAGGAGAGATGGCTCAGTGGTTAAGAGCACTGGATACTCTTTCAAAGAACTTGGGTTCAATTCCCAGCACCCACATGGTATCTTACAACAGTCTATAACTCCAGTTCCAGGGGATCTGACACCCTCACATACAAGCAAAGCACCAACACCAATGTACATAAAATAAATTATAATAGTATAATAATAATAATGTATCAACATGGTTGGTCAGTAGAAACTAATGTGCCATGATTCAAAGATAATAAGGAAAATTGATAAGAAATATATGGGTACTGTCTGAATTTTTGCCCAATTTTTCTGCAAACCTAAATGTCACTTAATTGAAGTATATTAAACAAAATTTTAGCCCAGCAGTGGTATGGCACACACTTTTAATCCCAGCACTCAGGAGGCAGAGACAGGCAAATTCAAAGCCAGCCTGGTCTATAGAGTGAGTTCCAGGAAGGCAGGGCTACACAGAGAAACTCTATCTCAAAAAAGGGGAGGAGGGGACTCAAAACCAGGGACATTTTTAAATTCAAAAACAAAATTTCAAACCAAGGGAAAACGACAGGAAATATGTGAGGGTTGTAGCTGTACATAGGGTGGATGAGTGAGGCTTTTCTGATAAGATTGCAATTAAGTGGTCCCAGAAGAGCTGACTGGTTTTTCTGCTATCTGGGTCAAGAACATTCCAGGAAGGAGGTACAAAAGGTTCTTAGATGAAAGTGTAAAACAGGGGTTAGCAGATAGGTGAGTCAGGGCATGGGGTGATCTAAAGGCAGTTTAAAAGGTCTTTCATGCCTACCAGATGTGGTGGTGCACATCTTTTTTCCCAGCACTCAGGAGACAGAGGCAGGTGGATCTCAGAGTACAAGGGCAGCCTGGTCTACAGAGTGAATTCCAAGATAGACAGAGCTACACAGAAAAACTCAAAAACAGAGTGGGGGGGGAATGTGGTGGCACATACCTGTAAGCCCAGCACTGGAAAGTCTGAGGCCAAAATATCACAAGTTTTAGTCCAACTTGGACTATCCAGCAAGATACTGTGTATCTAAGTTTTTTAAAAACAGCTAGAGAGATGGATCTGTTGTTAAGATCACTTGTTGCTTTTGTAGAGGACCCAGGTTTGATTCCGAGCATCTACATGGGAGTTTACAACTGACTATAACTCCAGTTTTTCAAGTGACCAAACACCCTCTTCTGCCCTCCTCTTACACCACACATACACAGTACGCATGCATACATTCAGACAAAAAACTCAAAAATAATAAATTTTTAAAAAGAGTCTCACAGAGACAGATTGATCTGGGGCTGTAGCTCAGTGACGTAGCTTTTCTAAACAGGTATAAGACCCTAGCTTCAACTCTTCTACACCACAAGAAGACGT